CCCCACAATGTAAGCCATCATACTGTAGGGGTGGGAGTTGGCTTTTGGTTCGTTGGGGTTATGTAGTTTTGTGCGTGTGTGTATTTATGCCTTTGTGTAGGTGTGTCTGACCTTATCGCCAGTTGAAACCATTTGCATAATCCTCTCTGTCCCTTTCTCCTTTTTTTCCTGGTAAGAACAGTTGAAAACAGGAACAGTTGAACAGGAGAAAGAATCTGAAATTACAGTATAACAACTTTAAAGGTGTAATACATTTTGTTCAACTTCTCATTTCAAGTGCAAGTGCAATTATAGAGTACAGTCACATGTTCAGAGACACAACAAGGGCATAAATGTCTGTTAAGTAGTCTTTAAAGCAGTCTGTGGCTTTTGGCATCCTTTCAAAGTCCACACGTTCCCATGAAAAGGGATAAATAATGACTTTCATCCATAAACCGAGAAAAACTTATATAATGTGTATATTTAAATATATATATATATATATTATATGACTGCAAGTAAATTTTAAAAATCATGTAGCATTCACATTTAAATAAGAAAATAATGAATTGTTTCACTGTTCATTAGCTCAAATCAGTTTAAAAATATTCAATTATTTGGGACCACTTAGACACGAATACGTCTGCTTTTAATTGTAACCTTGCACTTATTTTTTCCATGTAGTTAACATTCTTAACCTTCTCCCTCCATTGTGTGACAGTGGGGGGCTGCGGCCTCAGCCAGGGGACTATAATTATCCCCCTAGCAATTAGCAGAAGGACTCTCAATAGTAGTATCTGATTGTCATATTCTATATCTTGTGTTCATACATTTTAACAACTAAAGTATTTTTTATTTCAAAGTATTTTCATTTGTACAATACATGCACATAAAGGGGATGGACAAAATATTTGAAACACCTCTCACTGAAATGCAGTAGAAACCAGAAGCACAATCTACACGTTCCGAAATGACCATAAAGTAGAATCAACAAAAACTACTTATCATCTTCACAATCATATCACGATGTTTAGGAGTTACTGCAGGGCTTTTGGATAAGGCTGCATTAGTTCCAGCTAGTTGGGATGAATAAACTGGCATCTGAGTGTAGTTACGCTTTAAAGTTAAACTGTGAACTGCAAATCTCACAGAGGCCAAGGTACACTAGAAAGTAAGGACCTCTTGATGGCCTTCTATAAATCTTCACCAGGCGTTTAACATAGCGTCAGAGGGCTCTGTATATCTTTATGGTTCCATACAGGAACAGAACCTCTCTATTGGGGAGAAGAGAACAATGCAGACTCACAGCCAAACCTGACTCACCATCTCACAATCACTTTCCTGTCAAACACAAGATGAAAACCACTGCCCAAAAGAAAACTGAAATGTGTGTGTGGGTTTGTCCAGAGACAAGACTGACAGCTTCCTGTGTGTGTTGGAATGACAAAAGCAGTTTCCTCTCAACAGTAATGGACAAATGAGTCTCACTCACTCACGGGCCTATACACACCCATACACACACACACACACACACACACACACACACACACACTTCCTCGGCTGTATGTATTATGTTCTTGGACAAAAAGCTGCTGATGTTGGCAACACACTTTCCGTTCTTTCCTTCATTTCCAGGAACATAAGCTGTTTTGATATGCAAATCATTAAACTTTTAATATAAAGACGTACAAATACAAACTCATCTGTTCTGTGCTGACAGCTACTCCAGTCTCCAACCATCCAGCTGTGTCTCCATCATGGAGGAAGATTGTGAAATTGTCTGTCAGAAGAAACCGCAAGCTAGCTGAGAAAAGCTTGTTGTGGTTTTTTATATCCATTTATTAACATTAGGATAGCATTGATTTGTTTCTATATAGAGCTTACTGTAACACTGTGTTTCGCTGACCCTCTGTTGTAGGTTCAGTGTATGTGTTTGCAGGTTTTGATTTTAACATATACAATAGCTTTTTACCTGATGTACCTGATGCTATCTACAATCTATCCAGATTTTGTGTTGGACCAGTTGGGTCAACGTCTAGTTTAGGATTTCATTTCTGCTCAAGGAACCAATTGTGATCTACTCATTTTTTTTACTACCTCTCAGACTATGTCTGCATTAAGCCGTACAATTATTAATAACCGCTATGTATTCTATGGAAGCCGAGAACTGCCGTGCTTGCACTTATTTTTTTCGTGATTGCGATTTAAATTATTTTGTTATCTTGAGAAAACAAAAGGCAGATTTCCCGAAAATGAGATCATTTATCACGAGAAAACGACTTTTGGAAATTATGGAGAACTGAAAAACAAGTGTCTGGTTCATTTGATCACACCTGATTTCAGCCTTCAAGATCACTGTCATGACATGATGAGGATTTATAACTGAACTGAAAACAGTTGTTAGCGGAATGTAGATGAGAGTTCATTTAAGCTACTAATTTCCTGCGGTGTGATGCAATAGTGACAATATCGGATTTATATTTATTAAATGAGCTCAAAGATCACTGCAATGTTCTGATTCTGTTCATGCACTTTTCCTCTTTTGGGTCAGTATTAAAGTGAATATTAACAGGCATATTGCATTTCATTCATCCATGCATTGTCTATTATGTTGAATCATTGCTACATCTATAATACACAATCTATTCATGCTCGCATTGCTCTCCTGATCTCTAATAAACATTATAAGTAAAAGGGGACGACCTTTTGTTTTCTTGTGATAACTGGTTGATTATCCCATTTTTTCAAGACAGCTGTTCTGGGCTTCCGTAGAATTTGACTTGTCTGCAAAATCAAATTTAAAAAATTTATGACTGGCTATAAGTGCTGAAACAGAGAGAAAAAGACGCATTTACAAATTGAACTAGCTTCATGTTGACATACGTATGTAAGGATTGCTGTGGTGTTTTTTGGTACCGTAACTCTGTATCTGAGCTGTTTGGCATGCAAATATCTGCATCGGGGTTTTGGATGTTTGACCAGATGATCCTACTCACACATTATGTTATTTGTGTTAAGATTTTTTTCAGCCAAACATAAAATTAGACCATAGAACGTAAGCAGAAAATCTGAGACAACAGGAGCACACATAGCAGCATATTTTATTTGGCGGTTTTAAATGTCGACATGTTGTCCTTGGAAAACATAACAGCTCTTCGTCTCTGTGCATGTAAAGCTATGTGACATTTTGATGCAGTTTTAAACTTTACCGTCACTAACGGGGTTGGAAGCAATGCCAATGGAATGGTAAAAGCATAAACATAACATCCATGTAGCCTACCAAAGGCCCAGCAGAGAGAACTGGAAGCCTGAGGCCACATTCAGGGAAACTACACTGCAGTAGAACATCACAACTGAGGCGAAAAGGAGCATTATTCATATTTCCCCAGATTTGTTTCCCTCCTTTTAATAATAAAAAACTATTAAAGGACCAGTGTGTAGGACTTAGTGGCATCTAGCAGTGAAGTTGCAGATTGCAACTAACTGAAGACTGTGCCAGTTCATCAGTGTACACCTGGAAAAAAGAATTGTTGTGTATTTGTTACATTAGAATGAGCCTTTTTTATCTACAGATGCTGCGGGTCGCCTTCCATGCAGTCCGCCATGTTGAACCACCATGTTTTTACAGTTACCCAGGAGGGACCAACCAAACAAACACTGGGTGTAGATAGGGCTGTTCGCTTTTTTACACGCATTTCAAGGCCACCGTAGTTTCTCACTCGTGCTTGGAAAGGGAGAATGCAGATGATACCACTAAATCCTACACACTGGTCCTTTAAAAAACACACGGCATTGACTTTATGTGTGACTCCAAAAAGGATAATAAATGTTGGACTAGACTAAGCATGCATATTGAAATTTAAAGCATGAATGTACAAATAATTTGTGATTTAGGAGCTTAACTTTGGTAGGATTCTTGAAATCTCTGGTTGAATTGCTTAAATTTGTGCTATTCCTATAAACCACTGGCGCACTGTTACATGGGCCAACATAAAACTGATCAATTAGATCATCAACCTTTAATGACATTAGTGGTCGTGACTAATTGCTGAGTCGCTGAATTATGGACAGCTCTGATTGGTCTTGTTTGTCACTGAAGTGGATCGTTAACATGTCGGTTAAAAGCTGTTCACTCAGGTTCAAAGCATCCGGGATCACATTTGACATTTGTCAACAAAAGTACAGGGTAGGAAAATTGGCATATCAGTACATGTTCCTGAACTTTACCGAACTGAAAACGACGGATTTGAATTTTAAAGTGGCTGCCTCAACCTCACTTTTTTTACTTTATATTTCATGAATATAAAACAGGTTTGTGTTGATGTCAGCGCTTTAAAGCATGGAACTGACTTTAAAAATGGAGACACCGGTCAGATCGGGTGTCTCTCTCTCTTCCTCTCTCTCTTTCTGTGTCCTGAGATAGATTTTGCCGACTTAGCGTTCTCACTGTGGAATGTTCTTGGAATGTGTGTGTGTGTGTGTGTGTGTGTGTGTGTGTGTTGCTGCCAGGACAGTGCATCACATGCACATACACACAGCAGGGCATGGACATTTTGGCTTGTTTTCTGCTGAGAGAGAGAGAGAGGGAGAGAGAGAGAGAGAGAGAGAGAGGGTGATGAAGGGGTAGAGAGAGCATTAATGAAAATGAGTGAGAGAGAGATTTCATAACATGACAGACGGATGACCAGATGAACTGAGAGGGAAAGAAAGAGAACAAGACGAGGGGAATTAAATGATAAAGATATGAGGAGATTACAAAGGGTGGAATGATGAAGTGCATATTTCAACATGTATACACTACCTTACACACACCATTCTGAAGAGTGACTGGAAAATACTTTGACTGCTACTGCTGCTTCTGCTCCTAATACTTCCACTGAACAGCTATAGAATAATTTATAATCTGTGTGTGTGTGGGTGTGTGTCTGTCCTTTCCCACAGGAATGTTGATCTGATAATGGGATTAATACTAAAAGCTCCACTGACTGACCGTTTCTCTCTGTCTCTCTGTGTCTCTCCAGGGTCATTCAGGACTGAAGGCATCAAGGCGTCTGACGTTCTTCCTGTGTTAAAGGAGAAAGTTGCCTTTGTGTCAGGTGAGTGTCGGCCAGTGTTGTTGTCAAATCACCAAACCTTCAGTCCAGGACAGAAGTCTGAGATTGTTTGAGATCACCTCCAAGTTACTGAGGTCATATCTGAAGCATTGAGTCAGAGTTACTGAGAATCACAAGAAAATTGGATAGAAAAAACCTACATCAAAATCCATCTGAAAGTGAGGCAGAACTCCAGGGGCCGTCCTAACAAAGGATCTTATCTTACCACTAGGAGTCTACATTAATGGTGCTTTAGTTCTTAACTCAGAGCTTCCTCTTAAGAGGAAACAAACCTGCTGAGAGACACTTCTAGTGAAGAACTGAGAGAACTACTAAGCTATAAGACAAGGGCCGGGGCTTGACCCTGTTGCTGTTGTGCGCTAATGAATCTACTCACAATGTCTATAGTGACTGGTTGATAGGTAACTGATCTGGTCAGTGAATCAGTACTCATGGATACACAGCAGCACATACAACACATTTAATTACTAGATAGATAAACTGACAGACAGATAGATAGCATAGAGCAGAGTGTGAATCTACTCGCCTCACCATTTGCCGAGGCTAGACAATAAACAAACAATGTTAGTAGGATGCAAATTCCCGATTACTCTTTGACGAAGTCCGCAGTTTAATACATTTTATAATCTTAATCCGGTTGACAAATGCAAAGCTCATCAGTAGTGTCACAGTAGTACAGGGTTGTGCAAACCATCATCTCCAGTGTGATTGGAGTGTTTTGACTTCTTGGGGAGCTGGTTGGATCTGTATTAACTCAAAATATGTGTTTAAAAGTTATCGTTGGATTATTCCAAACCACTGACGCAACAAGGCGCATTACTGCAGCTGACTGACAGCGAGTAGGTCCCAGTGACCTAGGAGTCCTATTGACTGTCTCCAACCCCTTTCAGACTTAAGACAAACTTTAAGACCTAAAATGGTTTGTGAATTATTCTTAGACCTATTGTCAGGAAAATCACTGGGAATCCCTTTGCTCAGGGTCCAGGGTCTAATCAAAGACACTGACAAGTCTGCATACAGACAGGACGTTAAACAGCTAGCCCTCCAGGGTAGTCACAACAGGTTGCTGGGGCTGAACACACTCAGAAGAAGTGTGGATATGACAGTGGACTTGAGGAGGAGCCCCCTACAGTGATCCCACTCTACTTACTCAAAAGCACTATGTCAGCCACTGTGTCAGCTATGGAAATCTTCACGACTGTAGAAAAGATCACCAGGACATGCACACCTCTGAGACAGGAAACGGGCAGGGAAAACCATCACAGGCCCTTCACACCCTGAACATGACTTATGTGAACTTCTCCCCTCCAGCAGGCGCTCCACATCACTGTGTGCCAAAACAAGCAGAGAAAGCAGACACATGAACTGTTCCACTCCACAGGCCATCACGCTCACTCGGCCATGTGATATATTTTGACTCTGAACAAACAAGATAAAACATCATATGACCTCGTCGGCTGACCAGCCAAAAACATTGTCCGCCCCCCAATAATATAGAAAAATCCAATTTTCTCTTGCTACAACAGCTGCTGTGAACTGAGAAGAACCCAAGCATAGATCACAGAAAAGTATCGCTCTACTTGTATTCTCTGACCCGATCAGAAAGAAACACAAGGACAGTCAGAACAATCGGAAATAGACCTGACGAAATCTGTCTATCTGAACAGCGGCCCGCGTTGATGATCATTGTGCACCATGTGATAAAAGCAATCAGCATGGATCGACTCAGGTATTACACTGACGCACTGACCCAAGGTCCATGGCAATACCACAGGACCCTACTGAGACCTGGTTAGACTGAATGTAAATTGGACCCGGCTAGTCTCACCTGGTCGCTAGGAACTGATTAAACTCATGAAGACCCTCACTATGTGGTAATAAAGTTGCACTGTAAGGTGTTGGTTAACAGAAAATGAATCTGCAACATTTAAATCTCCAGTGTGTAACATTTAGGAGGATCTGTTGTCAGAAATGGAATATAATATTCAGAGCTATGTTTTCATTAGTGTATAATCACCTGAAAATGTTGTGTTTTCTTTACCTTAGAATGAGTGATTTTTATCTGCAGACACCAGGTCACCTTCCATGGAGTCTGCCATGTTGAACCACCATGTTTCTACAGTAGCCCAGAATGGACAACCCAAACACTGGCCTTAGATAGGACCATTGACATTTTTTGTGCGTTTCAAGGCCACCGTAGTTTCTCCCTGGCTCTTGGAATGGCGAGTGAGTTGCAATCTGCAACATTAGATGCAACTAAATCATTAACAGAGGTCCTTTAATTAATCATTCAAGTCATTTTTAAGAAACAAACTAACACTCTAGTTTCAGCATCTTCATTTTGAAGGATTGCTGCCTTAAATTTTAACAGGCATGTTTCATTATTTTTGATATTTTATAGACCAAATGGTAATTAAAAAAATAATGAAAATAATTGCTGGTTGCAGCCCTTTTGGAAACGTTAAAAAAAAGAAAAAAATGTGTTTTAATCTGCTGGCCGAGTTTCTGATTTATCAAACCATGTGTTTAAATTCACAGAACACATGCTAAACATAAATTGTAGCCAAGAAGGTTTGAAAAATGTTGGCAACTACAAATGCATTGTTATACTGCACTACAGGCTCATGCCACAGTGTTGGAATGGAATATTTTCCTATAAACTAAGTGCTTGCACTATAGTGCAACATTTAAGTGCTGTTTTTCAAGATTTTGTCAGTTGTTGTGCTGGTTGTTTTTTCCCTTAATGTAGTAATGTGTGCCAGTGAAAATGTAACTCTGAGTTAGAAAGCGAGAAAGGGAGAGAGTTCTAGAGAAAGAAAGTAAGATACAGAGAGAGAGAGAGCATGTAAAACACAGAGTGCCAACAACAATCTGTCATCAAGATTCCTCCTTCGATTACAGCAGCATACTGCCTCCCAAATCTCACACACACACACACACACACACACACACACACACACACACACGCGCACACCGATTTTCCACGTCTGAGTAGCAGTTTCATAAACAGTGCGGTTTGTGTTTCTTACATTAATCTAACCAAAACATCTCTACACACATAATTTATCACAGAGAGGGACGGAGAGAGTTTGTATTTCAGATGGGTTTCAGAGCCTTTTGAAAGTGTGTTTACTGGCTGATGTAGCTGTGATGGGACTTATGTTACAGATACAGAGATATTAAAGCTATTAGAGCAAAGTAATGTGCAGATTAACACCAGTACGGTCTAGTTGGTGATAATGGAGTGACAGTGGTTGTAGCGTAGAATGACATCTGCTCTGAGTTCTTTAATGGCAACCTCACTGATTATGTCATAAGTATTTTTTTTTTTATTTAATGCTATGTTATGTAGTACAAAAATAATGTAAGCTACATATTTTCTTTGTTTTCTTTAGGTTGAACCTACATATTCTTTATTCTGGAACTTTTATGTGATACTGCTGCAACTACTTCTACTATTGCTACTATTAGAATTACATTACTGTTTACTACAAGTAGTACTGCTACAAGTGCTGCTACTCCTTCTGTTTCTGCTACTGCTACAACCCATACTCCCACTGGTACTGCTACTGTTACTGCTACTACCACTATTGGTTCTACTGCTGCTACGAAAAAACAACTACTTTAAGTAGGCTTGTACAACTAGTACAATAAGTACTGCTACGACGACTGCTACCACTGCTGGTACTACTACCACTGCTACTATTTATTGCCACTATACTACTATTGCTATTGCTACTATTGCTGTTAAAACAGCTGCTACTACAAGTGGCACAACTGATACCATAAGGTCTAATACTACCACTATTAGTAACACTTCTCCTTCTACGACTGCTACTTTTACTACTGCTACTACTACTACTGGTACCACTACTAGTACTGCAACAATTACTCCTATTACTACTCCTACTACTTCATTCATTGTAATAGAGGAATATGTCACCAAGCTACATTAGGCTTTGGCTACAGGGACAGTACTTGTAAGTGGTATAAATTCCTTGTTGCTTTCGGTTTTTATTTGACATTTGTTGATAAAAGTGGGAATACTTTTTAAACACATTATTTGTATGTGTGCATGCACAAGGTGGGCGAGATAAAAGAGGAGGACCAATCCTGACATTTCCCGCCAGGAGTAACCACGACCGAATAAAACAGGAAGACCTGAGGAGGCTGGTAACCTACCTGTCTACTGTTCCCAGGTACACATTCCACACAAACAGACACACACATACGAGTAGCGTCTGGATGAGATTTTTTTTATCACATTTAGGTATAATTGTCAGTATTAAATGTGTTGCCTATTTATTTCCCTTCTTATTCCGAACTGTGCTTCAGGACAATAACGTTTGGTGAACTGGACTTAACTGTGACAGATTAGTAGACGGAAGAAGTGGAGGGTGAAGTGCATGTGGAGTGCTTCGGTGCTGTCCACGCTGCGGAATCAAACCCTCCTTTCTTCTCTGTCACAGCAGCAGACTGAAAACAGCGTTTGATTTGCATCAGCATGAAAGCTGCAGTGTTTGCAGCAGACAGCAGCGAGTCTGTCACACTTAACTTCAAGTCCATTTATTCCTGCTGCCCCTCATCACAGTCTGAGGATGCTGTCAGGAATCAGCTGGTCCAGAGAAAACGGATCAATAATCAGTCCCTGTGACTAGTCTCCAAATAGGTCCCTTTGTAAAACATGTCTGGCTAAACAATAGAACAATATCTCCAGCACTGTATACCTGACATTACTTATAACCATTTTCTAAAGCATGATCATATGACACTGGATGAATTTTCTACCTTCAGGTCTGTAGAAAATCAACAGAAAAGGATAAAAATCAACAGGGACTTGAAACTTGAGACTCTGGCATAGATAATGCTTCCAATAATCTAACCAAAGTTAACATTTCGTGGCTTTGAACTTTATTTAAACAGATTATCATCGTGGTACAGTGCAGCTGCAAGCAGAAACCCTTTTAAACCTCCTTGGTGGTGCATTCAAGGACATTCATACATCAAACATTGATAGTCATTGATTGATAAGCTGTGCTGTAAGAGAATCAAAACAAAACGCTAAATAAATACTCAATATGAATTTGTAAAGCAAAAGGAAGCTTTCTGTTAGCTGACTAAATTATTAGATTACAGAGTGTCCTTGAATGCAACAACAGGGGGAGTTTTCGGTCTGTCCTTGCAACTGCAATTTACCTGGCTGACTAGAACACCAAACTAGCCCAAAGTATGTATTATCATTTGATCCCTATCAGCCCTGCTCTGATTCCTCTTGCTAATCGAGCTGCTGTTTCCATGGTGACGAGTGGAGTTTGTGCTTCCCCCGAGGCAGATTATAATGGATGTGCTTTTGTTGAATTTATATTAATAGGAGCTGCGTGTGAGTGGAGGTGATTTCAGTATATTTGTACTCATCAGCAGCAGCTGGATTTTAGGGCCATTAGCCTCCAGCATACAAAGCTGGCTGCACTGGGTTCAGGGCAGCTCCAAATATCTGTTTCCAAAGTGTTGTCCTATCAAATGTTCAGTGAATGCGAAACTTTCTTAAACCTAAACTTTTTTTTTTGCATATTTAAAGATACAGTGTGTCTTTTATACACTTCATACAAACCACATGTAAATTAACATGCAACAAGCACAGTCAAATTACCATCTGGAGGGCATTCTGGTGTCTTCTTATTGCATTTATTTATGTGGCCCAAATATGAATTTCAATTCTTTTTCTTGCTTTCAGGGTAAGAACACGTCTGATCTGTAATACATGTTAACAAAATGATCACTGAATTAATTTGGTGTAGTGATGTATAATGTATGACATTTATTTTGCATCGAGTTTTAAAGGAATAGCACCAAACAACAGTAAATCATCTTTGTCTTCTGATCAGTCAAACACAGCAGTACTGCTATACTGCTTCTGTGCCCATTCGATCTTATTTGAGCTATTTTGAAATGTGCAGTACTTTTTCTTTCTAATACATCTTGTACATCATTAGCACATGGCTGTGCATTTGTCTTTGTTTCTGACTGACATTTATTGCCACTTCACTTATACATTTACTTAAGTGTGACATACAAAATCTCCCACACCACTGATGTGATTAATTAAAAAATAGGTTTTGCAATTATGCATCTCACTACCACACTCTGTCTGGTGGCTGGTGAGGAAAGGATTGGATTATTATTATTATTATATTATTATTATTGTCTCTCTCCTGTCTGCCGTCTTCTACCTATCAGCGAGGATGTGTGCAAACGGGGTTTTACCGTCATCATCGACATGCGTGGTTCTAAGTGGGAACTGATCAAGCCTCTGCTGAAGACCCTGCAGGAGTTTTTCCCGGCTGAGATCTGCGTGGCGCTCATCATCAAACCGGACAACTTCTGGCAGAAACAGAAGACCAACTTCGGCAGCGCAAAGTTCTCCTTTGAGGTCAGTGGGCGTCCTCGTTTTCTTTGAGTAGGAGTGTTTAATCCCCAACGTAAGTCTCAGTTCAGATTCCATGTTTCTGAGCAGCAATTATGTTCACATTGTGACCTAGCGCAGGAAGTTTTATTAAAGAAGTTTTATTAAAATTATTATTTATTATAAGACAAAATGATATTAAAAGGAATTGAACGATAATCCTATACACAAACTCAATTATTAAAGTCCCATAAATAACACAAACAATAAATAAAAATAAAATGAACATAATCATTTTTAATTCATAATTAATAACATTTAATTTTGGTCCCATAAAATAAATCTGAGTAAGTTTAGCAGCCAGCATTATAACGTTAGCTGTTTGGTTATATATTCTGTCTAAATGGGTTAGGGCCATTTTGCACTCAATAGTTTTGGAAGAAAAAAAAATGTACATTATTTTCTGATTTCATACACATAAATGTGTTTAATGTTTATTTTGTGGAAAATAGGCGATCATTTCTGTCTACCTTAAACAGCTAATGTTGGCTAAAGCTGTTCAGGTTAGCTAAAAGTTAACTGTTTGCTTTGGGTTAATGCTAGCATATGACAGGTAGCAGTCAATTGTTGAGACAGGCACATAACATGGTTTGGTTCAAGTTAGCTAACATAGCAGTAAGGTAGCAGTGAGGTTTAGCTAACAGTTTGACTTTAGGTTTCTATTCAGCAGCTCATACTGTTGGGTTGAGGTTAGTTAAAGGCTTAAAGTTTAGAAGATAGGTTAAAGGTATTTGGTTTAGGTAAGCTAATTTTTCAGTTTAGCAGAGAGCTACCACTGTTTGGTTCAGGTTAGCTTACGGCTTACTTTAGCAGGTGAAGCTGTTTGGTCACTGGTAGATTACACTGAACGTTAGGTCAATAAAGTTGGAATGGCCGGAATAATTTTGAATCTTTATATATATATATATATATATAAAGGTATATATCTAATTTTACTCCAACTTTAGAACATTTTACACAGCAGACAGCCAGCTGTCTGGTTTGGATTAGCTAACAGTTTCGTTTAGCAGCTGAAAGATAGATGTTGAATGGTTGAAGACAGTAGCAGCAGTGCCGCTGCTCTCCATTCGGAAGAAAACATTCAGCCCAAATTTAAGTAACTGATGGACTTGCTCATGTGATAAAGTGCCATGCTGCTAAACATTAGGGAGGGACATGTGAGCCTCTCTTATAAGCTCAGTCACACGGATTTGTAATTCATGATTTTCATTGATTTTAATGTAGAATACCAGTTGTTTACTGCCTTCTTCCCATGCCATTTAAAAAATAAAATAAAATGCATGATTACTGTGTCAATCATAAGTCAAGATTCAAAAGAGTCCCAAGCGTTGCCATTTTCTAGATTTTACCATACTGGATATGCAGATGGTATTTATCTGTATTTGTTTTCTTACTGTGTAAATCAGACCTGCATGGTGTCACTGGAACATATGGCACAAACCTGGATGATTCCTCACTGCTAAAAACAAGCATTTTGATATTCCTCATGCATTTCTGTTTGTGTGTACCAGACCAGCATGGTGTCAGTTGAAGGTCTGGCCAAACTGGTGGATCCCTCCCAGCTGACGGACGACTTTGAAGGCTCTCTGGATTACAACCATGAGGAGTGGATGGAGCTTAGGGTCTCTCTGGAGGAGTTCATGTCCAACGCTGTTCACCTATTGTCCAGACTGGAGGACCTGCAGGTGGGGCATGGACAGACGGGCAGATGACTGAATGGTCGATCAAGAAAAAAATGTTTTAAAAGCATTGAAGAAATGAGTCGTTCCAAAATGAAAAAGTTGTACTGTGTGTGTTGCAGGAGCTTCAGTCCAAGAAGGAGTTTCCTGCAGATGTGGAGGGATCTCGTCGGTTGATAGAGGAGCACACACAGCTGAAGAAAAAGGTATTGTCTGATACACACTGTCGAAACAGCTAAAGACATTAGCAGACGTCTGTGTTAAACATCATCAGCACAGACAACTTTAAATCATGTTAATCTGCTTAAGTAATTCTTTATACTGTCCTCCTCTCCCGTAGGTGCTGAAGGCTCCAGTGGAAGAGTTGGACCGGGAAGGCCAGAGGTTGCTGCAGTGTATCCGATCTAGTGATGGTTTTTCAGGGAGGAACTGCATCTCAGGCTCTGCTGACTTCCAGAGCCTGGTGCCCAAGGTAAGTCACACATTCCTGGGAAGTTCGCTGCAGCTGGGAATATAACTGGTTTATGAGAATATCATCTCTTGAAAAATCTATTTTATCCACGATACAGTAGGGAAAAGGGCTTTCAAACAGGAGCAGGGAGAAACAACACAAAGAAAACTGAAAAAAACAGAAGTGATTCATTATCGCTTTCTGATGCACATAGGAACAAAAGCACACTCATAACTCATGACAGACATCAGAGTTGTTGTGACAAAACAGGCAGATGGGTTAGGCAGAAAAGAGAAAGAAGAAAAAGAGGAAGAGCAGAGTCAGTCTGCATAACATAGACCATCACTAGGAAAATACTTGCAAAATGGCAAGTATTATCCTCCTGTGCAGAGCAACGTGGAAATAAAGTGCTAAAACAATACAAACTATAGTCTTTACTATACTTGATCTGCAGATGCTTTCTGGCCTGAGACCACTGACTGTTTATATTCAAACACATACATTCATTACATTTCACTGTGCTTGTACCGTATATGATTACATGTGACGAATAAACTTGTTCGACAAACAAAAGCTGAGATTTATTCTCTCCAGGGAATCTAGCAGTAAATACCAAACATATAAACTGTATATCAGAATCAGAATGAGCTTTATTTCCAAGTAGATTTTCACATAGAAGGAATCTGCCTTGTATATTGATGCATAACTATGAAACAGAAAAACATAAATAAAGAAAACAAGTACTGCAAGTCAAGAAGCATAGATAGAAAAATGGAAACTTAACAGCAATATATGAAAAAATGTTATATTGTGAGTTGTTGTTGCTGTTGAAAGAACACTGAGTCTTATTGTGCTGGTTGTTCTCATAAAGCATTTATATTGAGATTTATAATGAGGCCTGAAAGATAACTAATCTTGTTTATTGGTCTCAAAGTGCTTTGAAATTGATAAATAAAGATTAAAGATAAATAAATAAAGACAAAATAAATTAAACACTAAGCTAGAAATTAAAAGTGGTGCAAACAGGGCCCAATGCAATGCCTTCATTAAAACCCAGTTAAAAGTAAAACTGGGTTTTAAGGAGCTTAAAAATGAGCAGAGATCCTGCCGGTCACATGTAAACTATTTAGAGAAGGGGTCTCAAACTCAAATTGGCTTTGGGCCACTGCCGGTATTGATTGGTATTATTGTTTTTGCTTTAATTGTATATAAAGGGTTAGTTTAAATTGTCATTTAAATTGAAACAACTAGGGCTAAAAATAAATTCTGTTATTATACTTCTGACATCAAGTCAGGGGCCAGAGTGAGGGGAATGAACGGCAGTTTGAGATCCATGATTTTGAGTTATGCCAGGGAAAACTTGTACACAACCCACTGTTCACCACTGTCTGGGACAGAAAAGGATAGACGTGATGAAATGTAAAAAGTAACTGAGCGCTTTAAAAACCAGCATATGTCACACATATGTCATTCATTTGTAAAGAAAACAAAAACTGTTAATCTGCATTCAGATTAGCCAAACAAAAGTTGGAGGTGGTTTGAATGCACACCAAACCAACGAATGACAGACATCAGTGGCTGCTTTACGTGATGTGAACTGACGCACAAAAGTAGTTTTTGTTCAAGTTAAACTTGTTTAAACTTGAGCAGGAAATTGGCATGAAATTACACATTACGCTTTGGGTTTTCCACCAAACACTGGAAACATCAAACTGGAGGATAAAATATGCAGTAGATGTTATATTTTGGGACCACAACTGTCCAACCACGAACCGCGGCAGGTTTTTTCTGCTTATTTTTGAAGAAAACAATCAAACCTCTTATCTGTCTAACCAGTGGACCTCAGCTCCAAATGGATAAGACATCGTCAAACACCATCTAACAGTTCTTAATTCTTTGCTTTTTTCCCAGGTTGCCAGTCTGTTGGATAAGCTCCACTCCACGAGACAGCATCTTCATCAGATGTGGCACGTCAGGAAGCTGAAGCTGGACCAGTGCTTCCAGCTCCGTCTCTTCGAACAGGACGCCGAGAAGGTGAGCCTGATGTCAAAACACACAAAGAAAATGCAGGACACATTTTGATACAAAGTCACATAAAGTGCCAAAAAAGGGGAAGTCTAACGCAACACTTAGACATTGAATTCCTGCAGCTACTTCACAGTAAAGGTCCTGCAGTAGGTGTATTATGTCTGCATTATTCATACACCCAGCAGGCACCCGTTAGCCACCAAATATTTGGTGCTTTGTTGTTAATGGATCAGCCATTCTGTTCACTGAGTCATCACATCGACATGAGAAAGTGGAACCTGAAAATAGGTTCAGAAGAAAAAAAAGGACATTTGCAAACAATTTGTCACAAAAATATCTTCAGCTTTGATTAAATAAAGAGCTGTCACAATATCAGATTTTCACTACACGATTATCTTGGCCACGATAACAATATTATCACGACATAGAGAATAAAATACCATTAGTCAAATTCATCTTAAATTTATTTTGTTTATTGCTATATTCCGACATCCCAAATAAAATATAATAATCAGATTTTTAGTTTGGGATTACAGGGTAGAGGCACATCCAGTATTTCCTCTTCATTCCTCTGTATGTTCATCTTCACCTCTGTCCAGGATTTGAACTTCATCACATCCCAGTCTCCGTAAATCCCTCCGGAAACTCCTTCCGTGGTCTAAATAAATTAGCCTGTGCTGTTTATCTAAACAGAGGATCACATTTAGCAGGTCATCCAGTGGAAAATCGGCCAGCGTTGCCTCGCTAACCCGAGCTAAGCGATTAGCTGTAGTTGTGAGTGAATGTTTGGATTCCATTCATCATTAACATACCAGCCTGTCCAAGACATCACGCACAACTATTTTCAACTGCTATATAAAGAAAGGTCGCACTCTCTCATGTGAAGGGGTCGTTATGTAAGGAACACAGGTTATTGCAACCTCTGAAATGCTTTTATTTTGTAAACGTCACAACATAGCTAAAAGAAATACCAGTATAGCATTTGAACACAACAGAAATTCCTACATACATCACTGATTACGGCAAACTGATGCCTGGGATTGCTGACATCTGGAAACCTAAGGAATACTAATATATCCTGGTGACAATGCTTAGAGTTTGAAAAATGTTCGTCTGTAAAAACACCAGTTATTATGGCAATGGTACTGTATGATGAGGTCATGTAAGTGGATCCAGAATGGCTGAACATTGTCGACCTGCAGCCCTGCCTCCTGCTAACAGGGTTGCATGCATTTGGTAGTAGTAGTGTTTTTGATGGGATACCCACACACATACACACACAGACGGGCGTCAGCTGACTTCTTAGTGAGTTCTTCCCCACAGAAATCCACATGCAGGAGCAGTAAATATTTACTGTAAAGCAAACAGAGAGAAAAAAATAAAACTGTTTAGTCCAAATCAGCGTTGCCATGCTGAGGAACTGCGGGGGAGTGCGGACGAGTTTACACTGTGGGAAACACTCAGCGCTCGCAGCCGAGCCAGGGAAACAGTCAGACCTGACGAGGTGTTCCTTCTGTGGAAATCACAGCTTAGAGGAATGACTGTGTAGATGATGGGGTCACCATGGTAACCACTCGGCAGCGCAACTCGGCCTCCATCTGTCCGCAAAGATTGATTAAGATGGAGAAGCAACCTTGAAAGCTGTCCTGGCCTCTTAGGCTTTACACTGATCAGCCGGTACAGCAGAAGCCAGCGAGGAAAACATGACTTTCATGTTTTTGAAGGAATATTCCTTTGTTTTTTACAGCCTGGCTCTTGTTTATGCCAGTTTGGCCACAGTTATGGTAACGTTTTACTCATCAACTTTATTGCAGACACATAAGATTAGTCAGGGCAGCTGCTTGAAAAAGCATGTGTGAAAGTTCATTCTTGATCTTGGAAACAGTAGCTTGACTAAGAAATCTGAACTCAAGGTCCAATTGCAAGCTTTTGAAACAAAGGTTTTTTTTATAAAATGTATAAAATGGTCTTTCACATGTACTCTCATGGCAGATGGTATTTATTTCTTCCTGTCACAATTGTGGATGTTGAAAAGTGGTAAGCAAGGATTTGAACCCAGATGCAGACTGGCAGAGCAGGTTAAGCAGGACCTTAATAACAAAAATGTGTTCAAACAGAAACTTACAAGTCCAAAAGGCAGTAGTCTGAAACAATAGATCAATGTAAATAAAGCAAAACCAATATTCAACAAACCAGGAAGAAAATCCAAAAAGTGAGGAAGAAGTCCATACAAACAGGAGGAAACGCAGGGGAGCAGGCTATAGAGCCATTATTGTAGGAACACAGTTTACAAATCGGATTTTGCACACACAGGTTCTGAACACATATTTACAGATTATTTTACACAATAACAAATTACGCACACATAGATTGATATACAGTTATACAACTCTCCACTGTTAATAGTTTTGCTACACAGGACGAACTGGCACAGACTGTCACACAGGCAATATATACTGTAGGGGAGGGGGAAACTAATCAAAATCAAAACAGTTAAAAACAGCAGGAAAAAGACAAGACACAAGAGGAGTAAAACTACAAAATAAAAACCAAAGGACCATAACAGTTCCTAATGTGACTTTCAGTCGCTCACAGTGATACAGATAAAGAAAGTGTGGAATACATTAGTTTGCAATGTTATTAATGTAGCTCTGGTGTGTGTGTATGTGTGTGTGTGTGTGTGTGTGTGTGTGTGCGTGCAGATGTTTGACTGGATCATCCACAACAAGGAAGTGTTCCTGCAGAGTCACACGGAGATTGGCCGAAGTTACCAACATGCTGTGGAGCTGCAGACTCAACACAATCACTTCGCCATGAACTCCATGGTACCTAACGTCATTAGAACCATAATTCTCATATGACGTCATTGCAGATCACTGTGAGATAAGAAGAGCTAAGAAGAGGTTTCCAGCACAGATAACTAACACACAGTCAGGCTTTGTGGTAGTTACTACACTTATCTGCTTTGAAGGTCTAGTGTGTAACATTTAGGAGGATCTAAGAGGACCTTAGAATGAGCCTTAGAATGAAACTTGTATATCTACAGAGGGAATGGGTCCTCTTCTAAAGAGTTTGCCTGGTTCCTACAGTAGCCCAGTACAGAAAAACCAGACACTGGCTCTAGGGCCTTTCATGTTTCATAGCCAACGTAGTTTCTCCTGCAACTTTTCCGCTAGATGCTGCTGAACCCTACACGCTGTCTTCTAAGTGTTAACTTTTAAGTGTGAACTACCCTCAGAATAAAGTAACGTAGTTAGGTTACGTTGGCATAGATTACCTTAGTTTATCTTAATTTAGTACAACCGTTTCAAAAGTCAGTCAGAAGAAATCATTCTAATTTAACTAAAACACTACTTTTTTTCTTCTTCCCAGAATGCCTATGTAAATATCAACAGAATCATGTCAGTGGCAAGCCGCCTGGCAGAAGCCGGTCACTACGCCTCCACGCAGATAAAACAGATCTCAGGTCAGCTGGATCAGGACTGGAAAAGTTTTGCTGCTGCACTTGACGAGCGCTCCACCATCCTCGCCATGTCGTCCGTCTTTCACCAGAAGGCTGAACAGGTGAGATCAATAAATCTGTCTTTGAGCAGAGCTCGGCTTCTGAACGGATATGTGGAAGCACGTCGGCCATGTTTGTGGAAAAAGAGTCAATACCCCTCCTGATGTAAGGACTTCCCCTTCCTCTTCTCTCTCATTAGAGGAAAAGCTGTTCCATTTACTGTGAGACTGCTGTTGCTTGGTTGCTGATCTGGTAACTATCTAATCTAGGAATCTCTCTGCAGCGGACACGTGTCCAGAATGTAAAATGTAAATGGGACATTTTTAGTGTCTGATTATATTTAATAGATCAAACTGCTCTACTGCTGATTCTTGGAATGTTGACATGGCAACAGATGGGACTTGTTTGATTCCTGCTGGGCCCTTGACATTAGCTACAAGTGTACATTTGAGAGAGCGGGAGATGAAAGACAAGAGGAAAGAGGGAGAGAGAGAGCGGTTGAGGCAGAGGAGGGATTGGCTGAGACTGAGAGAGAGCCTAATGAAAAACAGAAACAAAAAAGTGTCAGGATGAAAGATGAAACACAAGATGTGGAAAGAGAGACAAGTGAAATAAAATTGGCAAGACTACAGATAGACTAAATGTTGGGAAAGTGTTAAAATGAGAGAGATTTAGAGAGAGAGAGAAGTAAAGGCTGTCTTCATTTTGCAGCCGCATTAAACGACAGGGTGGAAGCAAATAAAGAATGGACAGAGCTGTTAGTTAGATCAGCAGCTGTAATGTGAATGTGTCTGTTTCACTTCCTCAGTTCCTGTCCGAGGTGGAGGCCTGGTGTAAAGTCTGCAGTGAGGGAGGGTTACCATCCGAGATGCAGGAGCTGGAGCTCGCCATCCACCGCCACCAGAGCCTATACGAGCAGGTCACCCAGGCTTACACTGAGGTAAACCAACAGTAACTGAAGTCTACTGATAAATATCCACTGCCACCACTGCCTGTATGGAGAGGTCACAAAAGCTGAAGCTACAATTATACTCCAATCAAAATTATATTTGACATGTTGGCACTGTGCTGTGGGCTGTAGCATCTGGGTTATTACCTTTTGGCTTCTAAATTGAAATTTCTGCTCACAGCCATCAGTTATTGGCACCACTTTCTTCCATTGTGTCATGTTCTGTCTTTGCTTACAAAACATTGCTTTGTCCACTGTTCTCCATTATAAATGTGTATTTTCCACCATGCTTCAGTGTCCACAGGATGTCTGCAGGGTCTGAAAAAGCCTAAAATCCAATAATCTGACTTTAAAATGTCTTGTTATTTTAACAGATCTTAAATATTCATTGGATTAATTCAGTTACTTGTATAAAGTTCTATTTTTCAGTCTGGCTTTTAAATCTGTCTAAGTTATTATTTGATAGTATTGGTCATGCTGTAACAGCTACAAAACAAAACTGACATGGAACCAATACCGATTTTCCTTTATATCCTTTTTTCTTTTTGCCAGTATGGAAAAAAGGTCTTAAATTGCATTTATAACGGTGTTAAAAAGTCTTAAATGTAACGTGTTGAAACCTGCAGAAACGATTTGACAGTGACAGTTACAGCAATTAAAATACCATTCCTGTTTGCACTACGGTGCATGCCCTGGAATACATAGGCAAGGTATTGTATAGCACATTTCATACACCAGGGCAATTCAATTAGCTTTGTCAAGGTCAAAAAAACAGCAAAGATTTCCAATTTAAAAGTATAGGCAAGCGACACAAGAGATAAAAATGTATAAGTAAACTAGTGCAGTTTAAATCAACTGAAAGTCAAAACAAAACAACAGAAAATATTGCCACATTTTGATTACATTTTAAACAAAAATGAAGGCTATTTATAAGTTAAACTAAGAAGATATGTTTTGTGCCAAATGCAAAACATTTGAGCTTTTAGGACATCAGAAATGTGGTAAAAAAATAAGTCTGCCTGAAAACTGTTGACTTTGTTAGCAAACTATGTAATGTAGAGTTATAGTTGTAATGAAATGGTAATGTTTGTAAAACTGGTGTCTTGGAAATTGTTCAAAAATAGTACCATACCCCTCAGGGAGGATTGTGGACTGTGATTGTGACAGAGACTCTCCTTTAGGTGCTGTTAGTGCTGCTCTTTGACAGCTCAGTGATGCTAGCTGTGATGACAGGGAGGTGTTGGTCAGCTGCTGCACCACCGCCATCCAGATCTGCCGTCTAAAACCCTCCGTGTTTCACTATATTTAGTCTGGGAACGCTCCCGATCTTCTTCGCTCTTTGCTGCAGTCTGGCGTTTTATCTTTGGACGGGCTGTTGGAGTGTTAGCTCAATTTATACTTATCTGTGAAAAGATAAGTCCATACACACACACACACACACACACACACACACACAAAGCTCTGGGCGGAGGTTCAGGCTGAGGCGGTTTGGCTTGGCAGGCTATGACAGCATTGTTTCTTGTGGGAGCGCTGCAGAAAGTGACACGCTCTGAGACTGCAGAGGGTTTTTTTTTTATCTTTTGCTCTTGACTTGATGCATTCAAGTTTATTTAATGAGGTGAAAGTGTGCAAGTTCCTTTTTAGGGTTCCAGAAAAGATATGATACAAAATAAAAGCTCTTCCTGTTGGATGTAAATGGGTAAAGATGAATGACTTCATGTTCTGTGAAATACTGTGGCTATAGACATCTTTGAATGATTAAAAGCAGATGAAGATGCAGGTGTGAAGCCGAAGCTGCTCTTTGCTTGGTTGCTTTAAGTGAGACAGAAACACTGTCTGTAAACTTTGTAGACTGTTTCATCACTGCTTCAAAAGAACAAACTCCCTCATGCAGATTGGTGTTTTACCTCCTGATCAAGGCAATTGGCCTTGAATCATTTTGTAAAAACTACTTTTTAGCTTGTTTCCCTTTGCATCTCATTATGTAAATGTTTTCATAGCAGTGGCAGTCCTGCTAGGATCCAGTAAAACGTTCCTTCTCAAATGAAAGCAGCAGTGCTAAAACAATTAGTAGATTAGTTGTCAGACATATATTTCCTAAAATGCAAGTAGAGATGGACCAGCCCACAACTACTGTAAGAACCATCACTCTAACAGTATCTTGAGAGTTCATTATCATTCTGTTTTAAATGGTCTTCACTGATAAAAAAACACAGGCAAGGCAAGGCACATTTTTTGTATAGCACCCTTCAACAACAAGGCAATTCAACATGCTTTACATGAGACATAAAGGGATTAAGACGGGATATAAAAGAAACACGAGTTGATATAAAAAGATACACAGGGCCATTTCTTGCAGAGAGGAAGCAGGAGTCACTGCTTGTGTGCGACACAGAGGTTTAAGTGGTGTGTTTCCATGTGTAATTTAACAATTAGCAGTAGGAAGTCAAATGCTTTTTTTCAAAAGTATATATTTGTTCTGGAGAGGAGAGAGAACAAAGAGAGGAGAGAAGAGGGAGACTGAGTGCAGAAGAAGCAGGAAATGCTTAAACACTAAAGAATCAATTCTTTCCAATTTGAATTTCTCTGTCTGTCTATCTTTGTAGCCTTTCTAATCCCTCTGCGGCCTACCTGTCTGTGTTTTCCAGGTCAGTCAGGATGGTAAAGCGCTATTGGACGTCCTCCAGAGGCCTCTGAGTCCCGGCAACTCCGATTCGCTGACAGCCACTGCCAATTACTCCAAAGCGGTCAGTGCCATTATGTTCCTCTGTGCCAGCCAATTAGAAGACAATATAATAAAATGAATTCAGAACGTCACACTGTAGTTAACATTTGTGTTATTTCCCAGGTTCACTGCATCCTGGATGTGGTTCATGAGGTCCTCCACCATCAGCGACGTCTCGAAAATATTTGGCAGCATCGAAAGGTCCGACTGCACCAGAGACTGCAGCTGTGTGTGTTCCAGCAAGATGTCCAGCAGGTACACACACACACACACACACACAAACACACACAGACACATACATAGCATACAGCAAGCAAGTGAAATGAAAACATGAGGACTGTGTTAGTGAGAGAGAAGAGTGAGATAATATTGTTCCCATTAGATGTTTTTTTCCAAAATGCCAGCTTTTAAGGAACTGAGAAAAACAACATCCTAACTTTTTATTGCAGTTTTGAGTTTACTGAAAGGGGTCAGAGAAGTTTGTGAAACCACAGCGGGGCATGTAATCTTGTATGTAAGCATGTAATCAAGTGAACAGACGGCCGTCGTGTGTGTGTGCGTGTGTGTGTGTGTGCTTAGCAGAACAGATGAGGATCGCCACAACATGTCCATGCATCTCTGCTGTCTTCTCGTCCCGGCTTAACGGCGTGTAATGTGAAAATTCCTGAGATAAAACGCTCAGAGCGGATCTCAGCTCCGCTGGTACCGCTGCTCGTATTTCACAGACGAGCAGACTATGTGGTTTTGGAAAGGTGTCAGCATAGATTCCTGGAGGTTTTAGAGATATTCTGGGGCTCAAAATTTAATATCACAGCAATATTTTAGTGGAAGGGTGTTTTTGACCAGCTGAGTGAATGTCATCAGGGGGTGAGGAGGAGGAGGTCTTGTGTTTTATTTTACTTTCTTTAATGTGATTGTGGGTCTGACAGTAATGCACTAGGAATGAGGTACAGCCAGTTACCACTGGCATTACTGAAACCTCTGGAATCTCAGTCCACATGTGGACTCTCTGAAGAGTTATTTTGTTTTAAATGATGAACATAAAGTACAAGGACTGTGTTGTGGAACAGCTATGCAAATACACTAACACATACATGAGATACAACCTGTTGAAAGTAGTAAAACAAAATAAGGATATTAGAGAAATCGATAAATGGCGTCTTTTAAAGTCCCCCTCCTGTAAAAAAAAAAAGTAATTGTTCGTTCCTGTTCTTACAGTGTGCTGTTTGAATGCTGTCTGTGCAGAGTTTGACACAAACGCATCAGACTCACATTATTGTTCCAAGCAGATATTATATGTATTAATGAATGTCTGGAAGAGATCTTTAATCTGTGAAACAATCAGCTTCGTCTGGCTCCTCTTAGTCCCCCTAATGGCATTTGCAAGAATCCACCTGAACTAAAACATAACATCTTATAAACTGATCATATGTTTTTTATGTAAAACCGGAATCTGCACAGTGTAGTTTACAGTACAATCAAACAAAATCATAATATCCCAGAAATGAAGCATTAAAATAAAGTAAAGCACACTGGAGTAACCTTAAAACTGCACTTAAGTTTATACTTGGTTACATGGCAATAACTACTAGCAGCAGTAGTGCTAGCAGTAGCAGTAGTAGTAGTAGAGTGTAATACAGTACCCAAGGTTAACCAGAAAATGCAGAATCTCAATTCTCACTCCACACTGCGGCTATCACCATGGTAACCTAAATATTGCTTTTGTGCTTGTATAGAGTTGTGAGGTGGGAGGGGCCGCTGGTTTTGATTCAGTTTTCAATCCAGCTTTATTTATATAGCACCAAATCATAACAGAAGCCATCTCAGGACACTATAGAGCAGGTCTGGACTGAACTCCATGTTATAAACAGAGACCCAACAATTCCCACTGTGTTCCTATTTTAATATTTCATTTGACAAGACCTTAAATGGTACTTAACATAGAATCACAGTATCGTCCTGGATAATGTAATAATCCTATGTGGTTATGGTTTGTGTCGTAGATTTGTTGTTGTTGAATTCACCCAAAATTTACCCAGAAATGAAAACTGAACAGATTTACCCTGTCAAACAGTAACAGCACAATCTTTAGCACCAATCTATCTCTATTTGGATTGGCATTTTCTTGACGAAATGTATCTTGGGAGTCGTAGTTCTTCTAGAACTTCTGCACTGAAGTTTTTATGTACACACTTGTACCATCAACTTTTTATCAAACAATCAGATATTTTATAGTGCAAACTGGGTGAGTTTTAATACTGATGCAAGCCTTTTTTCCCACCCAGAATTTCTTGGAGGACACACATAGACACACACACACACACACACACACACACACACACACACACACACACACACACACACACATATGCACACATAAAAACAACAGCACATTGAATTCATTTAAAACAGGTCCTTTGTAACTGAAGTCATCATGTATGTACTGTATAGAAATGAATGGGCCTGGGGAGAGAGAAGTAGGGCATCCGGCGGACTACAAATGCTCTGAGTATGGACGCCATGGAAACATTTATAAGTGACCCAAGAGAGAGTGTGAGAGAGTGTTTAAGAGAGGTAAAAAGACAAGGAGAGAGAGGGAGAAAAAAAAAAGTGAGTGAAGAAGAGATCGTATCAGTAGGTTATAAATTCATTGAAAACAAAGCTTTGCCAACTGCACTCGTCATGCATCAGTTTCTATGAGACCCCAGAGAGAGACACAGGGACCCACAGAGGATGAGAGACATACATAGAAAGTGAGAAAAGGAGCAAGTGAGAGAGTAGGCTCATACCGATAGTCTGTAAATCACTGAAAGCAGGGCTATTCCAACCAGAGTTGTAATCCGTGAGGATATATGTGACCCCAGAGAGGAAGAGAGAGAGATGCAGAAGTAAAGGCTGGAAGAGAACATATTAGGTGTGTAGTTTTATTTGGCAGTTTTAGCTGCACATTCAAACAAAGATAGTCCAGCTGCAGTCAGCGTGCTTCAGTTTGCGTGTGCTGTGACCTTTTGCTGACCTCTCTGTGGCTCCAGCTGGACTGACTGCACTACACTGATGTCATGAATTACACTGTTCACACACGGTTCCTTCAAGGCCCCAAAAACTGCTGTGAGATGATGTGTTCTTCCAAATTGGAAGTTGGAGCAGAAGATATTATCAAGGAGGAGTTGATTTTGACATTTGAAGCTTGATGTACTGGTTTTACAGTATAGGGATGGGGTAATGCCTAATATATGTCCACATATCTTCATATATTTGCCATATAAGATAGTTGGTCAGGGAGGTGTTAACAAAGAAGGCTTTCTTTGTGAAAGCAACTATAATCCATTATGTTATGATTAAATAACATGACAATTTGACAATGTGTAAAGAGTTGTTTGTAATCATCAATCTGCAGAGAATTGTCACCTGAATCTGAAACTTCCTTCATCTTTATGAAGCAGCATAGCAAGTTTCAGCTGATTGTTTAGCTAGCTGACTGGTAGCTTTACCATTTAGATCCACTCACACCACAGGAGGTCGAAAAAAACCTGAGGCTGACCAAACGGCAGATAGACACAGCAACTAGCTGGTGAATATAGTGGAGCATTTAGCAGCTAAAGATCCAGATATTTCCATCAGTAGTTGGTGGAGACCTTAAAGAGAGTAAATATTGGACTTCCATTCATCAGGCGGACACAAACATGACTCCAAATAAAGGATCAATTTGCTCGATTGCGTCGGAATGTGTAAATAAGCAACTGTTTGCTAACAAGTTTGCCATATAAACGTAAAAGGTGTGTCAATATTGTGTTAACGACTTGTTTTCACTGCACCAAGTGGCCAACATATATATTGCAGATTTGAGAAAATCCTGTTTATAACATGTGGGTGTGGAAGCTTTGCCGTTGTTAGAGCACCTTTGAGTGACAAAAACAATGTAACAAGTGATGAGACAAATTACTGTAGGTAAGTAATAGCATTACTTTTTGATGAGTAATTGATCACATTGAAGTAACTTGCCAACACTGGTCAAAACACACACTGCTGCTAGCTGAATGCCAAAGTTATGTAAACCACTTTAACATTACGCTGTATCAATGCATATATCCTGTTCTCCAGGCTAAGCTAAGCTAAGCTATAAGCCTAGTGTATAGCTTGGTACCTAGCTTGTTGCTATTTCTGACATCATGCTGCAAATTCATAGGCCCTGTTCCAGTAAGTAGAGAGTTAGCTAGTATGTAGCATCTTCTTACACCAAGTTCTGAGCAAATATTTACATATTCCTTCGTAGTCCAACTACACAATGCGCAATTACAGTCAATCAAATCCAATGAAACATACTGGACACACAGTGCAACCTGCGTCATAGGTGTCCTTTGCTGACTATTCAGCACTGACAGAAAACAAGACAAAAGAAAGACTTGCCATCCACAGTCACAGAAATAAGAGCTAATAATAAAATTTGATGAGATTAAAAATATGACAGAGAAAACAGTGGAGCAAATAAACAACAAAGCAAGTAACGGCTCCTGGCAGTTGTCTGCCAAGCACATCAGTGATGACGTTTTGCCTACAGTTAATCTAATGGTACAGAATATTCTTCTCAGCTGCAGTGACCTACATTTCCCACACAGATCATGCAGGTTTCATCTGTTCCATTCTTAATTCATGAGCTTTGAGACCATTTTGTACTGCTGATCTGTATGTACACTGTTAGAAAGAAAGTCACAGCGCCAGGAACAGAAGGTTCAGCAAACGACCTTTAATCCTGAGCGTGCGTTAGGAGATGTTGTGAAGTTGATCGTCATGTTCTCTCTCATCCAGGTGATGGACTGGATAGAAAACCATGGCGAGGCTTTCCTCAGCAAACACACTGGCGTTGGAAAATCCCTTCACAGAGCCCGAGCCCTGCAGAAAAGACACGACGACTTTGAAGACGTAGCTCAGGTGAGTTTATCCGTGTGAGTTTCCATCCAAGTCATGAAAAAAGTATCTCCCCTGTGAGAAAGACTGAATAAAATGCCAAAATGATCAATACTTTCCAATAGACGTCAACACTGTATTTCTGTGTTTATGTCTTCACACTGCACTGAAAGTTAGTTACCATTAGATTTGAGCTGACACTGAACAATCCTTTAACTGTAAAGCCGTTAGACCTGCATCTTCTTATGCCATCACGCTTTCAGTTCTGCAGTTTTACTTGAAAATGAAAATCCTGTCACTATCTAAACAGGTTAAACAGTTCAGGTGTTGGCCAGTGCACGTCCATGTCTGGCCTCTCATTTACAGTATCAACATTAACATAGAGAAGGTCCATTCCTTCCATGAATATTTTTAAGTTAGTAGTTTGTTTTGAATGTTTATTCGCTTGCCTTGCAGACATCTGTAAGTAATCTGCCTTGATTAATACCAAATTTTCAAAACCACCATGCCTGGTGGTGGCAGGAAGCATGAAGACATGCCTGTACATAACCATTTATGGTCACAAGCCTTTCCTGAAAGATTTGCAGAAGATGTTAATCATTCCTGAATTTCAGTGCAACAGTCTGTCACGTAGGAAACTCTGGAACTGAAGCTTTGGTCATAAAAATGAAAATAAGACAAAAACATGTTAAGATCTCAGGTTTAAAAAAAAAAATATGGTTGTACGTCAGTGCAGCAAAAGAAATGGTTTGAACATTTGCCATAGTGAAATAAAGATAAAGGGTGTAGAACATTTAAAAACGCTTAATATTCATAAACAGGAAGCTTTTGTCTAGTATTGAACAGTGCACTGGCAGTTCAGTTGCAAAGGCCTCAGTGTCTGCAACATATGGAAGCCTATTGCTGCCACACCAGAAAAAGAAAAACAGATCATGTTGTAACATGAAGAATTTATTGTTATAACAAGATACTTTCATGTGATAACATAATATATATATAATATAATAATAATTATTTTATTATTTTATTATTTTATTTGAACAGGGACAGTGCACAAAAAAACATTAACCCTGTATATAACAAGGAGAGATGCATTGCACTGGGTTTTAGCAAATTGCTATTTTCCACCCGTAGTCCCTGGGCAGGTAGATGTAACATACAATAAATAATAACATCAAGTTATTATGAAGTAGAAGCCTATAACACTAAATAACAAAACATTTGTTATAACGTGATAACTTATTGTTATAACATAAAACATTTTGCGTTTCAACAATATTTATATTAATATAATTATTTATATTGTTGTTATTTATAATAGCTTTTTATAATGTAATACTGAAAAACATGCAATTTTAGAGACTAGTTTGCCAGTCATGGAAATACCTGGGAATTGATTAAAGTGACCAAAAATCCTGGAAATTACTCGCGTACATAAACCTGGGTGTGTATTTTCTTAGAAACATGACAGAGCTTTCGGGTCTTTAAAGTGAAGCCAACGCGGAAATGTCTTAAAACCTGCATTCTATGTAAATTCCAGCAGGGGGAGCTGACTGCAATAACACACCGATCCTATGCAGTCTAATGGAGAAATGATTGTACTTCTCACTTAATTTATGAGCTCAGTAAACCGTTTCCTAAAGAGTTTATGGTCTCAATCTCTAGTTTAGTTAGTTAGTACAGCATGATGTTCAATTAGTAAATGATGTTCCCATTTACAGTAAAATAGACCATAAAGCTGCATATGCTGTTGGGCGTGGCTACCTTATGATTGACAAGTCATTCTCAGTAAGTCCGTCCAGATCAACGCACCAAACTCAGATGAAACGGTCAAACTAGGCAGTGCTGATCAAATATGAATCTAGATTCCGTTACTGCGTTGCCAATTTCTCCACTAAAATCATTTCAGAAACATATTTTAGTGAACTGCTGTAATACGAGATTGTGCGTGACGAGGCGAGTTGCCATTATTTCCTGCTACAGACAAGTCAAAACTGCGCAGCCAATGAGAGCTCCTCCACTGGCTCTGTCTAACTGTCATGGCGACAGCCAAAACGCCAAAACTGTCAGTTAGGCTTGCTTAAAAAAACAGAGCTGTAAAGAAATTTGGTTCGTATACAGTTGAAGCTTTGAAGGGCTTTGAAGTGGATTGGATGTAATAAAAGTGTTTGATGTGCTTCTCTATTGAAGTTGTCAGTTGTCAGATTTGATTTGTTTTAAACACAAGTAAGTACTTGGATAGCAATGCTTTGGAGACTAAACAAATAGGAAAAGGTCAAACAATATCTGTGATCAGGATCAGCAAATCCTTACTGTCTCTGCTGCTGTTAAAAAGTCTAAACACACACACACACACACACAGACACACACTGCGTATCTGCATGGTGTCACATGTTGGGTTCCACAGTAGACCCACTCCTTCCTCATCTTTCCACCATTCTCCCTTTGTCTTTCTGTTATGTCTCTCTCCTGTTACGTGGAGCTGTCGTCCCACCACCTTTCTCAGCTTGCCTCAGCCAACCAGTTTATTGCCTTACAGAGACTTTCAGAACAATTTGCATTATGAGTGCTTTCTAGTTGAAGAGAGCATAATGTGGTCTACAACATCCACTGCCTCGAATCAAATAACAGTGAGACAGTTGTTTAATCAGAATCCATGGCAACTGATAATCATTAAGTACTTTGGAGTTTCAGTAGTAAATGTTAGTTAATCCTATAAAAGAGTGAGTGTTGATCCTATAAAGAGTGTGTAGTAGTGTAATCTGATGTTTACACTCTGGATTAGGATTAGCCTTCATAACCTGCTGTGGATCAGCATTATTTAGGTCAGACTCTCTCTCTCTCTCTCTCTTTCTCTCTCTCTCTCTCTCTCTCTCTCTCTCTCTCTCTCTCTCTCTCTCTCTCTCTCTATCTTTCTCTCCTTTTCCCCCCATTAGCATTGCTTTGCAGTTTGTGGTGTTTTGCTGGTAAAATCCCTCCACTTAGCAATATACATATCATTAATACATTTAGTACACATTAAGATACATGCCAAGAGATGAATATGTAAGTGTGTTTACACACATTACGCTTTAATAGTCTCTCACATACAAACACAAAGGCGTGCTCAAACTTCTTTCATGAAGTCCCTCTCCTGAAGGGGAGAAAAGAGGGTTTAATGAAAACCGAGAGGACATTTCTGTAGGGAGGGTTGACACACCTGTTCCACTGCGACACTGGTAGGTTGATAGGGACTGTTACATTTTGTTACAAGTGTGTTTGGAAATTTAATGAAAACTGAAAACCCTAGGTTTTTCTTGCTAAAGGGTTTGTAAGGGAAAGACCTTTTTTTACAATGGCCGTTTTGACATGAAATTGTAGAATAATCACAGGTGTTGATACTAACTGAGGTCTAGTGTAGCAGAGCCTTTCCAGTGAGCCAACAATAGCAGCACCCTGACTGTTTGGCCTGGATAGAATTGATGACTGCTGTGAAAAAGGTCTATTGCACTATGGGTGGGCAATCTGGATAAAAAATAATATCACAATCTATTTAATCGCAATCACGATCCACAATCTAAATTGAGATTTTTTTGTTTATTTCAGTTTTGAAATGCCCTGTAGACTGTAGCCACTAGCCAATGAATGTTGCAATAAAAGACCAGTGTGTGGGATTTAGTGGCAGCTAACTGAACACCACTCACGTCTGTATTTGATCTGAGAATGAGAACGGGCTGTCAAGCATGTAGTGGAAAATACAGTGGAAACACACAAAGGGTCCTATCTAGAGTTAGTGTTTGGTTTGTCCATTCTGAGCTGCAGTAGAAACATGGTGGTTCAACATGGTGGACTCCATACACAACAACGAAAACACAGCGATTCCTATATTCAGGTGATTATACACATACCTATGAATATTATATTCCATTTCTGTCAATAGATCCTACATGTATATAAATAAATCCCAGATGTTACACACTGGACCTTTTAAAGATCCCACACAGGTTTCAGGATAGTGTTTCAAACCTGAGATTAATTTAAGCTGTAAGTAGAAGCCAAAAGATGACATAATCATAAAATAACACTTTTTAAGTATTGCAACACACCACCCAAGGAATAGCCATGTGTAGTAATTTGTCCAGTCAGCATAGCTAGTTGGCTGCTTCACTCCATTGGTTTGTTCACAAAGCACAAATCCACTAGTCAGTGAGGGTATGTGAAGTTTGGAAACAGAAATAAGAGGACATTAAATGCCTTGATCTCAACGATTTGCCTGAGGAGTAGATTGTAGACGTCTTAGATCACCATATAAAATCGTCAGATGGCCCACCCATAATTTGGACAATTTGCTAGTTGTGCGAGTAGTAGTACACAGTACTAGTAGAGTCTGACTGGGGGAAAAAGACATTTACGGGTTAGAACTGCTTTGGGTCTGAATGCAGGAATGGTAGTTTATAACGTTAAAATGGCTGTAGCTTAAAAAGTATATCTGCTATATGGAAAATCCAGATCATATCTTAATAAAATGTAATTCAGGCCCTATGAAACGTCTCATCTGGATTTGATTTGATTTGGTTCTTCCAGATAGTTTAATAGCATATTTTATCTATTTGTTTCTTAGTTTGTTTGTCCAGTTTAATTATTTTTACTTATTTTACTTTTTATCTTCCATTCATTAATTTTGTCCTAAAAAGTCATGCCTGGGCTTCTACATTGAGGTGACAGGGGTGATTCTGCTTTCCTGTCGTCTCCCTGCTATAATCCCCACCCTGAACCAAACCAGTCATACAGCAAAGAGTAATAATCCCATGTAAATTATAATCTTTATCTTCTGACTAATCCCTCTAACATGTGAAATATCCAGACTGTAAGCTCTCACCCAAATACCCTAACTCATATTCCTGAATAATTGGGATCAATCTTTTTTTAATCACTCTAGTGCCACACCCCCAAACCTCCAGCCACCCCAAAGTATCTCAGATGTAATATGTTTCCTGAAGTGAAATATTCCAATGATAATCTGTCATACTTACCAGAATATACCGACACTAATCCATTTTGTCCTCCTGGTGAATGCTGAAAGCTTTAACACTCCCTTGTCAGGGCAGGTGGAGGTGGAAACAAGAAACCTTACGCTGTTGATTTACAGGAAGTGGAATCAATGAATTGACTGTGTGTGTGTGTGTGTGTGTGTGTGTGTGTGTGTGTGTGTGTGTGTGTGTGTGTGTGTGTGTGGCGCGCCTGATCTAGTTTTTAAAGAAAGAATCATAATGTTAAGTGATAAGTGATCATTTGAGTGATAATACATGAGTCCTGATCTATGAAAATAATGTGAGGAGGCAGAGGTTAAGAACACCATGGTATGTTTCAGTAACATTTGTGTGCTGGTGTAGGTACCAGATCTGCTCGGAGTCCTGCGTTTTCAGACAACTTGGCTAACGTTAGCTAAAGTGGTGCCAAAGTTTTGTTAAGTTATGAAAGTTAATAATAATAATAATAGAATGCATTGTAACACTTTTTTGGAGCTGATGGAAGTATCTTGCGAGTGAGCCATGTGTTGTTTCCTTCTCATCTCTGTTGAGAGTTGCACATGAGCAACTGGACAGGGTCTTATTGCGGCACAATATGGCATCCATACACTTTTGGAAATACAGCCAATCATGATGTGTTACAGCAGTTGTTAACACAGGACCCCGAGCGGATGTGGTGGGCCGAGCACATCTGATACCTACAGCGAATGCAATTTAATTTCATTCTGATGTGCACTTGTCCTGTGTATTGTCTGATTGATAATAAAGTTAAGCTTGATCTTGAATCACAGACTCATAAGACTAAGCCAATGAATATATTATATATCTAGATCATTGATATATGTGATGGTGTTCCCTCCTCCCCTTTCAGAACACATACACTAATGCAGATAAGCTGCTGGAGGCAGCTGAACAGCTGGCTCAGACCGGAGAGTGTGACCCCGAGGAAATCTACAAGGCAGCCAGACACCTGGAGGTCCGAATCCAGGACTTTGTCCGCCGAGTGGAACACAGGAAACTGCTGCTCGACATGTCTGTCTCCTTCCACACACACACCAAGGAGGTGGGATACACAATCACAAAAAGAACACATTGTATTGTAACTGCACCAGTTATTAATTTTTTTTGAATTATTTTCTGTATCCAGCATTTTCAGACACAGCAGTGCTGAGGTGGTTCAGTGGAAGGACAATTATGTGGTAATGGATTGATCCTGCATCTGTTAACCTGCCTGCCTGTCTGTCTGTCTGTCTGTCTGTCTGTCTGTCTGTCTGTCTGTCTGTCTGTCTGTCTGTCTGTCTGTTTGTTTGCCAATCTGCTCTTCTAGCTGTGGTCGTGGATGGAGGAGCTGCAGAAGCAGCTGTTGGATGAGGTGTGCTGCGATTCGGTGGATTCGGTTCAGACTCTGATCCAGCAGTTTCAACAGCAGCAGACTGCCACACTGGAGGCAACGCTCAATGTGATTAAAGAGGGAGAGGAATTAATACAGCAGCTCAGGTAATAATAATACAATTTAAATTATTATTCATGATGGCATTTGAGAGGGAGAAAAAAATCATACAGAGGCACAGATAATGATATTAATATTCAGAATGTTATTAAAGAGAGAGAAGGATTCATACAGAAGCTCAGGTAATAATATTCATGAAGATGTCATTAAAAAGTTAAATTCATTATGAATTACCATATTGGCACAAATATATAATGATATTTTTTATCTCTGCTCCTGTCTCCATCTCTTTGTTTATCCATCTCTTACTTTTATTTGTGTGAAAGGAAATAATTTAATATTACTTGTGAGGTAAAGTTCACACAGGTGTTCTGTATTTCATATGAGTCATTTAAAATAAATAATGATATGAATAATTTAGAATACTGTGCTTTGTTTTTAGAAATGTACACCTTTAATCAATGGTCAAAAATATACAGCATATATTCCTACTTTGTTTCATTTAGAGTGAGAGATCTTGTGTTTGGTATAATGTCTCCCCCTATCTCTCTTTCCACAGAGATGCAGCCATGTCGACCAATAAGACGCCACACTGCAGTTCCATCGCACACATCCAGGGGGTGCTGCAGCAGCTGGACGAAGCCCAGGGCCAGATGGAGGAACTGTTCCACGAACGCAAAATCAAGCTGGACATCTTTCTCCAGTTACGCATATTTGAGCAGTACACTATAGAGGTAAGCAATAGGTTCCAACCATCAACAAACATAAAGATGGACGACATGACAGCTCTTCAGAAGTGAAGCCAAGACATCTCTATCAAACTACACTTCAAATGCATTTTTCCCAAAGATGGTTTCTGGCATTTTAGGTAGTCCTTATCACGCTGATTTCATTGTGTCATTTCAAGTTCACTTTTATTCAGTTAAGTTACTAGTAGTTTAAAGACATGAAAACTAGGGCAGCCCGGTTAGCTCAGTTGGTAGAGCTGGCATCCCATGTACCAAGGTTGAGTCCTTGCTGCAGCGGCCCAGGGTTTGAATCCGACCACCTTTGAATGGACTTGTAGGAGCCAGACGATTACTAGACAACCCTCTCTACCAGCTGAGCCCTGTGGCTGCGCAGTGTATCCTGTGTTGTGTATCATAGTGGACAACCACCGATACTGCATCCGGGACGCCTTTCCACGTCCCGACAAAAATATTGTGTTGTCTGAACCTGGCTTTAAACCACTAACTAAACTAAACTAAATAACCACTAATTACAGCTGTACAACATGCCAATACCTTGTGCCCCTGTGACAGAGAAAACAATGAGTCATTATTCATATACCAAAACAAAATGCAGTAGCCACTGACTTTGGAGTGTTGTGTTGTTAACTGTGTCTCCACGTGGGCACATTGCTTCTGTTCCTGCAGGTCACAGCGGAGTTGGACGCCTGGAACGAGGATTTATCCCGCCAGCTGACCGACACTGGCCGCTCAGGTGGTAGCAGCAGCAGCAGCAGTGGGGGAGGCGGCGCCTCCTCCGGCAGCGCAGAGGACATTGGCCTGGCTGAGCAGAGGCTGAAGAGGCACGCCGAGAGGAAGGCAGCCATGAACAACATGACCTATGAAGTGATGCAGCAGGGTCAAGACCTACACCAGTACATCATGGAGGTCCAGGCTTCAGGTAAAACACACACCTCTTTTGTTCTATGAGAAGGAAAATGAAGTGTATGGGAGATTAATTGTGCTGTGCATACACTACAAACTAAATTAGGCACATTCTTTATTGCTTTAGAATACAATAGTAGTTGAACCGTTCCTCAAACCTGGTCAGCTTGTTTCTATCTACTAAAGTCCAGTGCTCATACCAGACGAGATATTAAAAACAAGGCTGCTCTCTATCAGTCTCATGCATTCACCCTGCACTTCAGATGTGAGCATGCGTGTCCCTGTTGCCCTCTGAATGTGGCTGTGCAGGCTCACATGTGGATTTACAGCTACAGCGGAGGAGAGAGGGAGCCCTGATGCTTAGACGCCACCATGAACTGTGATCCAAAAGAAAAGCGTGTTGTGCAGAACAGGGAGAGAGAATTGGGTTAAAAAATCGTCACGGCACAATCCTCTTACTGTGTGTGTGTCTGTTTGTGTATATGTGGAGGTCACTGCCTCTGTCACCCTGCCCCCTGGAGTGATAAATCTCTCTCATCCACCACACAACACTCTTGTTCAACAGCAGCGCCAGTCGCTGGTGAAGTGGAGCATTAATTGTTAACTGATACTACAGATTTTTATTGAGTTGAATTTGTGAAATGAAAGGAATAGTTCAGTATTTTTGGAAATACGATTAGGTTCTTCCTTTGTCCATATGTATCACTAATGTCTTCATGTCCAGTACACAGCTGGATTCAGGACATGTTCAGTCTATGTTAGCATTAAGACTGGAGATACTGGGGAAATAGCTGTGTTCAAAGCTAAAAAGCAAACAAACATAAAAAGTCATGTAAAAGTGACAGTGTGTAAATGAGGGGGCTATGTGAGGAGTGAGTCCTGTCTACAGAGCTGCAGGCCGGGGAATTGAAGTTAACTTGATAAATCACAGCAGGTTTGTGTGTGTGTGTGTGTGTGTGTGTGTGTGTGTGTGTGTGTGTGTGTGTGTGTGTGTGTGTGTGTGTGCGCGCGCAGGGATCGAGCTGACAGGAGAGAAGGACATGGACTTGGCCTCTCAGGTTCAGGAGCTGCTTGAGTTCCTCCACGAGAAGCAGCAGGAGGTGGAGCTCAACGCACAGCACACGCACACACGGCTGGAGCAGACCTTGCAGCTACGCCACCTGCAGGCCGAGGTTAAACAGGTAAACGCACACGCAAACAGCAGCAGCAGCCACTGAAGGGACTGAAGCAGTTCTCAAAAAATTAATTTATGGGCGTCTTTAATATATATTTTTCATTTTGCTGAGGAATCATCATTCAGTACCTCATATTTTGAAATTTGGAACAGGATCCACTCCTCCATTCGCAGGTGTAAGGTTGCTGCTGCTGGCCAATCAGGGCCTGTACTGTGATACTTTAAATTGTATCACATTTCAGTATGTGGACATTAGTTTTAAGTATTAGGTCAAAAACATTGTTTGAACCATGCTATAATTCCCAAAGAAATTATTCATTTTTTAACAGTATGGTGGTCATCAAAGCAGGCGGAGTGGCTGCTTCCTGCTAATAAAAAAATAGAAATGTATTTGTCTGTATGTTTTCATAAAATTAGTTTTTTTTTGACACCAGTTCTGTTGTAAACATGTAAACATCCTGTTGACTGTCCATACTGCATTACAGTACCATAACTATTAACTAAATACTTCACCCATTTAGCATTTTTACACTCACAATGGATAGGTTTTAAAAGAAAAGAACAAAATCAATGTAGCAGAACCAGAGATATTGTCTTTTTTATTTCATGCAGTCCACTTTGTTGTCAAAACCTACAATACCCACCATGCATCTCAAGCAGTTCTGTCAGATATTCGTGTGTGTTATAACAGCGGCTAATGCCTTAAACCTTAAGCAGAGATGAGGAGCGGGCTACAGAGGTCTGAACTTCTTTCTAACACCAAGTGACATCACTTAAAGCAATTTATCAGACTCCACACAGCTCCCTCTGGAGCCACAAAAGACTAAATCCACAAAAGGAAATATTATAGTTCTATAATGGAGCAAGATGGACCAGCTTTTATGATTAAAAACAAAGGAAATAAAGAGAAAATCAAATTTTAGACTGACGACTCCACATTGGAGCAATGACAACAGTATCACCCAGCACTTCCTCCTGCTTGAAGCAAAGAATATGTTTTTTTGTCAAAAAGCTACTGCAGATGTGAATATGAACATGCTGTGTGTTTAGACAGGAAGCACACTGCTGCTGCAGATGGATACAACTGAATAATTTATGAGGTTTATGGCAATGTGCTAATAACACACACACACACACAAACACACAAACACACACACCCCCCACTGCTTCACCCTCACTCCTATTCTCTGGTCATAGATCTAGTACAAACAGATACTTACTTGCAGCCGCAGTTCAGTAAAGTGCACAGATTACTTAAAATAACTGTGGGCAGAGTGTGGAATAATATCTAGAATGAATGTAGCTTTGACTAGCCACCACTACTCCAGATCTGTGTCTGTCAGTGCAATCCAACACTACACTTAATGGGAAACCTCTTTCCCCATGTGTTTGTGTGTAAGTGACTAATGGGGACAACAATGTTTGAAATTGGTCCAGTATTGACTGAGAACTCTGCAGCTGTGCAGCAGGCTAAAATGTAATCCTTCAGGGCAATTTTTGCCACTGGTAGATTCAGAATGTTATAAGTGTCTGAAAACATTACGGGAAGGACCCCACAGAGATAGATGTTATGTTAAAGAGTAAGATCTTTCTCGTTTAACTGGAAGCTACAGATATATCACTCTGTACAAAGCCACCAGACTCTATTGACAAAAACAGTAATTTGACCTTTTTTCAAAACAACAATCTGAGTCTATCAGCGGCAAAAACAAGCACTTTAGTGGACGTATAATGGCGGTGCGCAATTGCCCATAAGGATTACTTTTCAGCCAGTTCCACGGCTGCCAGCTGCAGCTCTCTCACTCCATACTGGACCAATTTCAAAAACTGTTGTGTCCATTAGTCACTTAGACACAAAAACATGGGAAAATAGGCTACAGGTTGAAAATACCAACGTTACCCTTTAACAGACTACAAGATAAAAATATACTGGCTATCCTTGTTTTGATGTTGACCATAGAAGCTGTAGATACTCTGCAGTCAGGTACTTTATAGAGCATGAAACAGTGAACAGGTCAGTGAATCAGTAAGTAGCTGGGAGGGTTTGATAAAATTATTTTAGCAACATTCTAGTCACCACTGACTGCACTGACACAAGGTTAGATGATTCAGTATTTACGTTTGTGATAGAGATTGAACTCATGTTGGAAACAGTTGTATTTATTACAGTTAAATTTGGTTTTGTTAAACTTTTTCAGAGTATGGAGTTAGCTCTTTTTCCTGTGCTTCTTTATTTCTGGCAGACTATGCTGCCATCTGCTGCACGTTAGTTAAACAACCATTCTATATGCACGCTATTTCCTGCCTGGTTTAGTATTGCTTATGCCCAGCATTGAGCCACTTAAGCCTGCACACCAATAGGCTCTGCATCCATAACATCATACTCTTTGCAACTGTATGTTGTTTCTGTTCGTCACACTCTTTACTATTTTTAACTGGATATTGATTTTTCTTCAGCCGATACGATAACTGATGATAACCTGTTTCTCATTGTCGATACCGATGAGATCGGTTTAGAGTTTATAACCTGTAGTGATGTAGTGAGCAACATTAAGCCTATCAAATGTTTTGTATAAGAATTCAAATTAATTATTATGATTATGGACCAATAATTTACCAGCTTAAATTGAATTATCTGGATAATACACAGTAATATAAATGTCCTATTATTAAAAATTGTACTTTTTACATCCATGTATGTACAGTATATTATCTTTTTGTGGAGAATTGTGTGAGAGATTTCACATAATATCCTCTCATTAAGATTAATTAAGTCTTGTATTTTGTCACGGATTTGAATTTCTCCCTCTCCCCCACTCTCTCTCTCTCTCTCTCTCTCTCTCTCTCTCTCTCTCTCTCTCTCTCTCTCTCTCTTTCTAGGTGTTGGGCTGGATTCGTAATGGCGAGTCCATGTTGAATGCCAGCATGGTGAATGCCAGCTCTCTGTCTGAGGCCGAGCAGCTGCAGAGGGAACATGAACAGTTCCAGATGGCTATAGAGGTACACACTCTCTCACACACACACACATCCTAATTATTGCTGCTCAAACCAGGCTTTCTGTACTTATAGTAATAATTATTTCAGTGTGCATTGGTTTGAATAGTAGCAGATGGGTGCGCACAATGATACACACACGCTCTCTTTGTCATCTGTGTGTGTGTGTGTATGTGTGTGTGTGTGTGTACTGGGCTTGCCTAATAATTATTTCAATTTCAATAATTATTTCATTCTGCATAGATCTTGAAGAGTAACAGATGCTAATACACACACACACACACACACACACACACACACACACACACACACACACACACAAACACAGATACACACACATTGAAATGCTGAAATGCATTTAAGAGCTATCTCTCCCCACGTATGTTTGAATGTGTGTGTGTGTGTGTGTGTGTGTGTGTGTGTGTGGTGAGTTTGGGTGTGTTTTACTCCGTGCATTGCTTTAAATAGCTGACTCCAGAAGTGTGTTAGCGCTCATAGGGGTAAAAGCCCCTTGGTCAGCACTGTACACACACACACACATACACATCGCTCTGGCCCAGACCCAACATGTGTGTTCTGGCCTGGTTTCTGCTCTGATTAGTGTGTGTGTGTGTGTGTGTGTGTGTGTGTGTGTGTCCTGCATTCTCCATCAGACTGATGTAATACTGTCTTGGCAAATAGCTTAAATACACACAGACACACACATATACAAACAATGAAATTCCCACATTGGACCACCTTTTTGTTTGAGTCTGCTCTTCTTGAATTAGAGACAGTTCTCAATAGAGAGCCAGAGTGTTGACTGTAGGAAAACATGGATGCAGACTGTGACGTAACCTTTAAAGTATGATTTAGCTCTCGCAGCCATTTTTGGCAGTAATTACATTTGGGCAAAGGAGACGGAGCCTGCTTGGAGCTGGGATGGGATAAGTAACACATCTTACTTTGATAGGTTTAGACAGCTGTCAATCAAGAAAACCCCAAAACACACTTCAATGTGAGTCTTAATATAGTCTTTAAGTAATACCCATCTCAAAATAAAAGAAAACAGTAGATTTTAGATATTAAGACTATAAATCCTCGACAAAAAATATTGCATTTGTAATTTAAGACAAAATTAAGAATAGACTGGATCTGATTCCAGCTTCCATTAAGGTAGTTGCATATGTCCTGAACATAAAGGCGTGATGGTAGCTGGTTGGTGCAGACTTCTGCCATAATCTGATCAATCTCAGACCCTCTGGGGGCAACCGCTAATGTTTCGGGGCTTCCAGAAAACAGATAAGGGATAAGACTTCCTCTGCAGTCCGATTAGCAATTTAATACATGAGAACGACGAGAAAAGGCACCCAGTTAGCTCACCTGGTAGAGCTGGCGACCATGTACTGAGTCCATGCTGCAGCAGCCCAGGGTTCAGATCCGACCTGTGGCCCTTTGCTGCGTGTCATCCCCTCTCTCTTTTTTAGAAAGCTAATAAAAACCTAAATCATCGTCAGATGGATTCTGGGATTGCATTCCACCTTGTTTGCTCTCCACATGGACTGTTTACCTGCGTGCATCCAAAGCCTGCTCAAATGTAATTGGTCAATACTGCTTGGACTACAAACATAAATGCCAGATTCTGCATTCATATGCAGACATCAGTTTATAGAGGATGATGGTGATCTAACTACTGATGTCAGCTCATAAATCTGCAAAATGACATTAGCAGTACCTACTGTACACTGTTCACACGCATTGTGTGTGTGTCCAAGAAACTTGCTCAATATATTTCCCTCCTCATAAAGTTTGCACAGCTGATTATTCTTGAAAGTTCGAAACCTACAGCGTTACATCCATGTTTACTAGCTGGCAGTCTTCTTCACTACCTTTGTAGTAGAACATTAGGGTGTTACTTGACACGCCACTGGGAGTCACAGATAAAAACATTGCTTACTCACGCATGATTATAGGAGTTAATAGTGGTCAAAAACCCCTCAGGGAACCTTTTAAAATTGAGCTGAACTAATGAGGCAGTGATTTTAATTGATAGTAACTATCTCTCATCCTCTTCCTCCTCCAGTCTCTCTTCCATGCTAACTCTCTCCAGAAGACTCATCAGAGTGCTCTGCAGGTCCAGCAAAAGGCTGAGGTAAATCCATGTTTACTACAACTGTTCCTTTATTGTTTACTTTAGTAGATTGTTGCACACTTGTAAGACTTACTTTGAATAAGTGAGACACTGTATACCTTGTCTTATCCTGAATTCTGTACTTCTACATTCCTGGGTCCAGGAGATATTGCAGGCTGTACATCATGACCATGTATTACCCTCCACCTCTATCCACCCCCTCTTCTCTTCCAGATGGTGCTACAGGCAGGTCACTATGATCCAGAGGCAATCCGAAGCTGTGCTGAGAAAGTGGCTGTTCACTGGCAGCAGCTGATGCTGAAGATGGAGGACCGCCTGAAGCTCGTTAATGCCTCTGTGGCCTTCTACAAGACGTCTGAACAGGTACACCTCAACACACACACACATTCACAGAGTTTGCTTTCCCTAAGCTTGGATCTTGGAACGCTGACCCTTTGTGTCTGTGCAGGTGTGCAGCGTGTTAGAGAGCCTGGAGCAGGAGTATCGGCGGGATGAAGACTGGTGTGGCAGCCATGATAAACTGGGAATGTCGGGCGACAGTGACCACCTTCTACCTCTGATCAGTAAACACCTGGAGCAGAAAGAAGCCTTCCTCAAGGTGATTCTCCTCTCATTGTCCCACATCAGAGACACAAAATCAGAAGGAGTGAAACATCAAATTCGGTTAAGATCTTTTTAGCACTGAATGATAGACAGTGAGCCAGAATAAAGTATAGAACAGAATATAAAATGGCATCACAAACTTTTTTACATATAAATTTAGATAATATTTCTAAATATGTAACTTAATGAAGGTTTTTACTTATTTTAGGAGAGGTAAGATGCCAAAAGACGAGACAGTGAAATAATCATCTGATGTAACTAGAGATAACAACCATTAGATCCATCATTTAGACAGGCTCTGCTCTAGGGATCTGACCAAAATTAAAAAGTTAAATTACTTTGAAGGTCTCTGTTGGACACTTTGGAGTTTCATTAGCATTTCATAAAATCTGCAAATGACCTTTGGTTGATGGATACATATTGAATGAATCTTGATTAGTGACAATGTTTGACACTGAATGAACAGCACATGAGAAATGCACGTAACAGATCAGGTGTGAAAGTACCAGTAAAATGTTGAACTGATTTTGTCAGTGGATGAGGGGTGTCAGAAGAGAATGTTTGAATTGTCCCTGTGCTCCAGGCATGCACCCTGGCCCGGAGGAACGCTGAGGTGTTTCTGAAGTACATCCACAGGAACAATGTGAGCATGCCTGGAGCCACCAGTCATGCCAGAGGGCCCGAACAACAGGTCAAAGGTCAGTGTACACCAACACTACTACTGCTGATCGCACAAAAAGTCCTGCAACTTAACGCTAGTATCAATCACTATTTACTCAAACAAGATATTTATATAAATTTGATTATGATAGACCTAATCAATAACACAGATAACATAAACTTACACAAATATTCAAGATGGACATATTGTTTAGCATGGAGTATGTGTGTATTATGTTATAATGTACCTAACCCAAGTGTGCAGCTGAGTTTGAAAACCTCATCACTGAGCAAGGAGCACATTTTGGGATTAGGGAGGAAGTGTGTATTTAACGTAATTGTTGTGTGTCTTTGTGTCCAGCCATTCTGAATGAGCTGCTGCAGAGAGAAAACAGAGTCCTTCACTTCTGGACACTAAAGAAACGAAGGCTGGACCAGTGTCAGCAGTACCTGGTGTTTGAACGCAGTGCCAAACAGGTCAGAGACAGAGAGAGCGTGTGTGTGTGTGTGTGTGTGTGTGTGTGTTTGTGTGTGTGTGTGTGTGTGTGCGCGCGCTGGCTGCATTTTGGCTTTGGGGAAATGTATAGCACTAAAGGGACATCTGGTTTATTTTATTTATTATCAGGGAGTGAGTTTATAAAGACAAATGTACAGAGTAAGGATCAACTTTATCTGTGTGTGTGTGTGTGTGTGTGTGTGTATGTGTGTGTGTATGTACAGGCACTGGATTGGATCCAAGAGACAGGTGAAGTTTACCTGGCCACACACACGTCACCTGGTGACAGCAGCGAGGAAACACAGCAGCTGCTCAACGACTACCATCACTTCAGACTTTCTGCCAAGGTACACTGTGTGTGTGTGTGTGTGTGTGTGTGTCCGTGTGTAAGGATCAGCTACTGGCAGCTTTATTGAGCCTCAGTGGAACTGCCGGGAATATCAAGCGAGTAGGCGTAATATGTCAAACCTGTATCTCCTGGCACAAACGTACATATTTACACTCCTGTGAACTGTGATTTATACTTGAGTAGCTATGCATTCTAAATGAGACACGAGAGTTCTCTGGGTACACTTGTATGTAGCACAACGTTAATACATCTTAATTTAAATAAAAGAACATTATGTATCTAGTGTTCCTTGGTTGCCAAATTAAAGGACCAAGGAAACTGAGAGGCTTAGTTGAGTGCAGAGCAGAATTTGGCTGCTTCTCCTAATTTTTTGACTGACAGCTCATACTATGGTGACATACAATTTGGTCTTTGTATGAACGTGAATAGGAGCTAGCAGGTGGTAACACTCCCAGAATGTTCCATTCATTTTCAACACAATGGCGGGGTCAGCCATTAGGGAGAATGGAGACACATTTTTAAACGTAATAGTATTCAAAGAAAACTTGAGGAACCAGTAAAGTGTTTATATTAGGTGAACTTTATTCTAATTTCATATAAAATACAAATTCTAAGTATGAAATATACAAGTAACAATATTTCACCCCCCCGTTAGAAAAAGCAAAATAAGCAAGATTACACACTGTAACAGGGCTGTATTACTGAGAGTCATATAAAGACACGGAACATCAGTGACCTCTCCAGTTGAACACTATGTACTCTGTGTGTGTGTGTGTGTGTGTGTGTGTGTGTGTGTGTGTGTGTGTGGATGTATTTCCCACAGCAAACCAAGGAGAAGGTGAAGCTGCTGATCCAGTTGGCAGACAACCTGGTGGAGAAAGGCCACGCCCACGTGTCGGAGCTGAAGCGCTGGGTCAGCACGGTGGACCGCAGATATCGCGACTTCTCCCTACGCATGGGCAAATACCAGGAGAGCCTAGAGAGGAGTCTGGGGGTCAGCTCCGAGGTGAAAATACACACACACACACACACCCCCACACACACACACACACACACACACACGCACTTGGTTTTCACATGTAGTCGCTGCTGATATTGAAACCAGATATAGACCTCTGGTTTGGCACCACTGATGGATTCTCCATGAAGACTTAGTGTGGTCACAGATATGAGATAAAGTTTTTATCAATTTTTGTTTCACATTATTGACAAAGACTATTACTGTCCCTTTCTGAAGGACAATAAAGACTTGGAGTTGGACATTATCCCCGCCAGCCTGACGGACGACCCCGAGGTCAAACTGCGTGACCCCAACCACGAGGTCAACGAGGAAAAGAGGAAGTCCGCCAGGAAGAAAGAGTGAGTACAGGAATCAGTACCAGCAGGCTAACTTAACAAGAATTGGATCAGATCTCAATTGTGACAATTGTCTTACATGGAAACCCAAAACAAATACACAATGTAGTTATAACATAGCTGCAGTAATTCACTCTATTCAACCAAACTCATTCCTATCCACTCCTGAGACAGTGGGAGTAGATAGAATCTATAATATCTGTCTTAATAATGGAGATCATCTGCATCCCATAGCTTTCCCAAAGTTCAGAATTACATCATAGACACATCTTTGTGCTTATAGCATCATTTACAATGTTCCAAATCTTCTCTGCAGCCTCCTGAAAAGGTTTTGTCTCGTCATGAATTGTTTGTTTTGGATAAAAGTCTATAAGGAGCGTCAACAGGCTCATGTGGCCATGGAAGAACCAGACACAGATTCATTCAGTCATGCCATTTGATCCCTGTTTGCGATAGTCTAAACTGTTTTCTTGTCTCAGGTTCATCATGGCAGAGCTTCTACAGACAGAGAAGACCTACGTCAGAGATCTTCATGAGTGTCTGGAGGTGAGAAAAAGCCTTCTGCTTGTCCCAGTTTTGTTTTGATTGGGCACATACCTTTATGTCTGCCTTACTTGTGTGTCTGTCTGCCTACCTCTCAGACCTACCTGTGGGAGATGACCAGCGGCGTGGAGGAGATTCCTCCAGGCATTGCCAACAAGGAGCACATCATCTTCGGCAACATGCAGGACATCTACGACTTCCACAACAAGTGAGAGACACAGGATGGATGAGCCAGTCTTTGTTCAAACTGATCCATGTTTCCACCAATTTTACACTTTCTGAAAGCTGCAAAGATATGGGAATTCCCTAGCAACCAGCACACAGCATAACGACAACCATAGCACATTTGTATTTTCAGGTCCAACAGCATCTAAGCAAATAGTGCTCAGTTAAACATCATTGCAGGCAATTTTGCACATTTGTCAGCGATGATACAACTTTCCTGCAGTGGAAATGCTCTTAACTGAGGAGAACTTTCTTGTTTATTTCTAATATTGTAGCTACAGGGAAGCTGAGGGAGTGTCTTTGAGGTTTGCCTTCATAGACATTTCCTAAACTCCAAAGGTTCCTCTGAGGAACTCCCTTGTTTTCTGATCTCCTTGCAGTACCTCTGGAGATCTGTGTGCTGGCTCCTCAAGGAAACCTTTTCTTGTACTCACCAACTCCATTTAGATCTTAAAGGAACTTTCTAACGCACTGGAGTTTAGAATAAACTTTTTAGTTTTTTTTTGGTGCTGTCTTCCTGCTACATTTTGAGAATAGCCAGATCATAGGACACAATCAGTTATTTTTCAGTTGTGATCTTTTACTGTGTGCGTTTGTGTGTTTCCAGTATTTTCCTGAAAGAGCTGGTGAACTATGAGCAACTACCAGAGGATGTCGGTCACTGCTTCGTCACCTGGGTGAGAGTTAGCATTTATTCAAGATGGCAGTGACCTTTGACCCCTGATTTCTGTCCTTTGTCATAATAAGGGGGTGGGCTTTAATAAAGCACAATAAAATTAATGACCCTGTAAATTTCAAACATTTTCTCCTCTCCTCTCCTCTCCTCTCCTCTCCTCTCCTCCCTCCCCTCCCCTCCCCTTACAGGCTGATAAGTTCCACATTTATGTAAATTACTGTAAGAACAAACCCGACTCCAGCCAGCTCATACTGGAGCATGCCGGCACCTTCTTCGATGTAAGTAAACGTTTATTCTGCCATCTTTTCATGGCATGTCATCACATGAGCAAAACATTTTAATCCATCTAATCATCAGAAAAACATTCCAAATCAAAATGTCTAATGTAAGCAACTCTGTCTGGGTAAGTGTTAAAATGATGAACGTTCTTTCAGAGTATGTTCAGATATCTAATGCATTCTCTTCTGCACATGCTCGCTCCAGTACCAGTTTCAGGGAAATAAACAGATACTCTAATAACTAAAGCAGTAATGAATCATGAGCAAAGACACAGCGGCTAACCAATAGGAGCATGATGCAGAGCTTTTGTTATGATGGATGCTTATTGTGGAGCATGAACAATAAACAATTGGTTGTGTATAGCTGCAGGTTTCGCATTCCCCTCCTGTAGTTTGCCTGCTTTGTCAGCAGATGGAGCTGTTTGATCATTAAAAAAGTTCAGCAGCATGCTGAATAGGAACAATTAACATTCATCACAATTTTTATTTCTTTGACTTTATTTTGGTATAAACAGGACATTCAGCAGAGACGTGGACTGGCTAACTCCATCTCCTCCTACCTCATCAAACCAGTCCAGAGGATCACCAAGTACCAACTATTGCTTAAGGTGCATACACAAACACTCAACTCTAAATTTTTACACAAAGAGTGAACATTTGGGGCAAATTACCACATGTACAAAGAAGATATGAGGGAGAGTTATGCATGTATGTAGTACAAATGTGGAGATAAACTACAGCACATATTTTCACTTATATTCCTCTCATTCTGCAGGAGTTACTGTCTTGTTGTGAGGAGGGTAAAGGGGAGATTAAGGATGGTTTGGAGGTGATGCTCAGTGTTCCCAAGAGAGCTAATGATGCCATGCATCTCGCCATGTTGGAAGGTGAGATACTGTATCCACACTGCTGCACTAAAATGGATAATAATGCCATCACTTCTGTTCTTATTAGAATTGAATATATGTCTGGAAAATAATTTCTGAACCCATAAATGAACATGCCTGTAGTGTTCAGATTTAATGAATGAAAATATTTGAATCCATTAACCGCTGACCATTTTCTAGACATAAGATTGTTTAATTTGCTATCACACCTAATGACTGACATTGATATTAAGTCTTGGTCTTCCTCTTGCTCAGGCTTTGAGGAAAACCTGGAGGTGCAGGGCGAGCTGATCCTGCAGGACAGTTTTCAGGTCTGGGATCCACGCTCGCTGATCAGGAAGGGGCGGGACCGACACCTCTTCCTGTTTGAGTTCTCCCTAGTCTTCAGCAAGGAGATCAAAGACTCGGCTGGCAGGACCAAGTACCAATACAAGAACAAACTACTGGTGAGAGTCTGTGTGTGTGTGTGTGTGTGTGTGTGAGTGCAGCAGGTGTGTATCAGACCTGCTTTCATCTGCTATTTTTATCCTGTGTGTGTGTGTGTGTGTGTGTGTGTGTGTGTGTGTGTGTGTGTGTGTGTGTGTGTGTGTGTGTGTGCAGCAGGTGTGTGTCAGACCTGCTTTCATCTGCTATTTTTATCCTGTGTGTGTGTGTGTGTGTTTGCATGTAAGAACTGTAACTACTGTGTGCTTTAATCAAATGGACTGTTAGCTGTCACTGACATTCTTCCTTCCCTCCCACCCCACAGACGTCAGAGTTGGGTGTGACCGAGCACATTGAGGGCGATCCGTGTAAATTTGCCCTGTGGGCGGGAAGAACCCCCTCCTCTGACAATAAAACTGTGCTAAAGGTGAGTGACACTGAAATGAAAACAGTTTTATGTCCTCTGATTTGATGTGTGCTGATTAGATGATTAGACGGTTTACTGGTTTATAATCATAGTTATTCTGCTGCTTCTCCTCCAGGCGTCCAGTATGGAAGCTAAACAGGAGTGGATTAAAAACATCAGGGAGGTGATCCAGGAGAGGATGACTCACCTCAAGGGGGCACTCAAGGAGCCTCTTCACATGCCTAAAGCACCAGCACTGACCAAACCCAGGAATAACACCAAGAGGTAAGCAAGGAGACATACACACACACACACACACACACACACACACACACACACAAATCATTTTAAAGAAAATTTGATTTTGAATCAACAACTTCATCATGTTGATTCAGTAAAATAAGTGCTTACAAAACATACATCGGTGCAGTCAATACCCAGCTGAATACCATTGGGAAGGTGCTTTTGTAGTAAGAGAAAAATAAACTGGGGTTGGTAAATAATTTGGAGTCACAGCATAGGGCCAGGTTTACATCACTGTGTTTTTTGTGTACCCACTGAACCTCATTTTCCACCGTACCTGTCATGATGTCAGTGAATCAAATCAAAGCTATTATTACTACTACTATTTGGCACTTTCCATATGTCTGTCTATGTTTTTGCCATTAGAAACATCTGCTTTACATGTCATTAGAGATGTGACGTCATCACAGAGATGTAACGTCGTCGTGAGATTACCAAGTCTACGTGCCAGCAATGTGAACCCAGAAATGTTGACTACCCCAAAGTTTAATGTTGGCAGGCTACAGTATGGGTCCCCAGCAATTAATGGCTGAATGCCAACTTGCATACGATGGACAATTTTCATTATTTGCATTACTTAGCATAATCACGTATATGGACAACTGGTGTGTTGATTTGGACAATATTGGAGCGGTTTTACAGTTTATTGATGCTGAATCTATTTCTGACATTTTAAAAATTCAAAATGGCTGTTTAAACCAGAAATTCATTACATTAGTAAATATTAATATAGCATCATGGAATCATTTAACAAACTTCAAAGGACATGTAGAAGAGGAATGACATGAAATGCTTTCAGTGAAAGCACAGCCAGTAATGCCCCTGTTATTTGAGCAATCATTCCTCAGACACTTATGCAACAAGAAGAATTAGGACTTGACTCTTTCCCACCTCCACTGTTGCCACAACTGGAAGCGTCATCATTGTAAACAGTGGCACTGTGGGCAGAAGCCTTATCACCGTGGTAAAAAGTGTCATCGCAGCCGATTGAAACCTTTCCAAGGTTATATTGTCCCATCTACAACATCAGTGTTGTCCCATTCTCACTCTGAATCTGTTTGTGTTTGCCAATGATTTAAAGAAAAATACTCATTCTGATTGTGTGTGTGTGTGTGTGTGTTCAGGGAGGGAGGTGAAGATGGAGACAGTCAGGGAGACGGCAGCAGCCAACCAGATACCATCTCCATCGCCTCCAGAACGTCCCAGAACACTGTAGACAGCGACAAGGTAGGAAACACACACCCACATACAGAGCTGCTGTTCACTTAAGGAAAGAAAAGGAGTTGAATGCACCTGATTGAGACTCACTCTCTGGCCTGTGACGAGCTGATGACCCACAGATGTCTCAGCGCTACAGGGTCTCCCATCCAGTTACAATGGGCAAGAGCAAGGGCTGTGTGTGTGTGTGTGTGTGTGTGTGCAGAAAGACTGTGCTTGTGCCAACTGTGGGAGATACATGCAGCACCGTAATTGTGTGCTTTCTAGTGTGTCATGCTTATCATTAAGTTTACATGTAGGTTTAGGTTATATGTATATGTGTTGATGCGTGTGTAGTTGATGTGTGTGTATGAGGAGTATCCAGCCATGTCACCATATGAACAGAGAAGCAGTCGGCGATGAAAAACCTCTTCAGGTTGTGTGCAGGCGTCTGTGCTAATGCCTCGTACCAACCAGCCTCTCACATCCAAGTAAGCCCATCTTTGAACTTTTATTTGACAGTCAACCAAAAGAGCAGAAATAATAAGAAGGAGTACAGAAGGAGTCCTATCACTTTTAACCCACTTTGAACTGCAGTTCAATTAAAACATTCAATTAAATGATAAAACAATCAGAAAACTATTAGAACTGGTCAAATGTAACTGCATTGGGTGATTGCATGTATGTTGAATTACAGTGTGACTCCTAGTGCTTTGTTGAAAGGTCTTCAGTCTTGTAGAGCAGGTTTATTTGATTTAAAATGTACAGTTTTTGAATGGAGTTTGGTTTAGCAGTTGTGTTGGTTGTTCTGATTCCAGACTTTTATAAGTTGTTTTGGTTTGAACTGGTTGTTGTCCACTGTTACTACAGTACCTCCCTTTTCACTGCTACACACACACACACACACACACACACACACACACACACACACACAAAACACACACAACACACACACACAATCCACCCACACACTACCCCAAACAGATGTCAGTCATGGCCTCCCACTGTAGTGTTACACAGTGTGGCCTTTTCACCGCGCAACCCCACGCCTACGTACTACCCTGCCTCTAAATGTCAGCACCATGCACACAGGCTTGCGCGCACTCACACACACACACACACACACTTGCGCGCACTCACACACAGGCTTGCACACACACACAGTACACACACGCACACACACACACACACACACTCTCTTTCTCTCTCGTTCACTGTCTCTTTTCTTTCTCATTTTCTGTCTTTCACACTGTGTGTGCACAGTACATGCATACATATACAAAATGAATACCATGCACACCCAGGTCTCCTGCACTGTAACACTGTGTATGTGGGTTTATATTGCTTGTCTGTGTCTCCCCACCTCTTCCTGTCCAATGAAAATACCATAATGAATTTTTCCAGCCTTTTTTCACTGTGGGTGTGTTGTTGTTCTGCTCCAGTTTATTGTTTCTAGGATTTAGAAAACTCTAGCTAGCTATTTTTGGATCCTCCTCTTCTGTTTTCCTGAAAACATCAAAGAAAAAACAACACAGTTCCAACATTATGTTTTGATACGTTTCATATTTCATATGCTGACACAGCAGAGTGCAGCTTTAACTGTGAGCTGCACTGTCTATGGATTTCTTGGATGCAGTTTTTTACTGTCAGTCTTTCATTTAGGACTGTTCATAATTAGGCTTTACATTGATTTTGAGAACTCTTTTTATTAATTGACAGCAAAATAAGAATGACAGTGCTGTGAGTTGTAAAAAAAAAAATCAAACGGTGCTCCCAAGAGGGGATGTGAAGGGGTGAAAAAGTGAAAAAAAATCCTTTTTGATAAATTTGATCTCCCTCCTGTCCCCTTTTGTGTAGGACTAATTTACTTTGCCTAAATCTGTTTATCTTTTGTTAAGTACCAATTTGTAGTGGATAACTGTGCTGGTGGCATTGGAGACTCGTCTGGCTTGAGAGACTACTGTATTTGTTTTCCCAGCAGGGTAGTGGAAGCGTGGCAGTACTTGTTATCTTGTATGTGGAGGGCGGTGGTGCTCCCTTTAGTTTCGCTCCCATGGCTCTGTCAGCCCTCTGGGGACTTATTATCATAAAGTATGGGAAATTCTTGTGTATTCTGGAGTAAAGACAAGTCAAGATATGGTGCTTATTGAATCAGCAAAACTGAAGGAGGATTTTGTTAGTGCTTGCTATTAGTCTCAAGACTGAAACCTTTTTGAAAGTTTTTTTTAATGAAAATTCAACCTTTATCCTCTGGGAGAAGAGGAGACACAACATAACATATATCAAAGGCCATTTATGAAAGGAATGAGGCTTCTACTTACAAAGTCATTTAGTACATTTACATTTAATAAATCAGAATCTGTCAGACTCAGAAGGTGACAGTCATTGAACAGACCTACACACTTTGCTACTTAGTAATCAGAGCAGCAAAAAGCAGAAAACCTGAGTTTCCAGTTGTGACATGTTCAGTGAGTTGGTCACAGTCAGCTGGAGGTGTGTGAGGAATAAACCACTGCACATGTGCACAGAGACAGAGATTTAACAGTGCTTCACTGAAATGATATTCTTGGAGAAACCTATGTTACTGGAACAAAGGCATTTGTTTTACATTGTTATAAAAGATGTAAGATCAACTTACACAACAGCTCCCTGTTGAATGTACACATACACTAACCAAAGCTAGTTGTGCTGAAATTGCTAAACTTCTGAAGAAATGGTGAAAAAAGCCATATAATTTCTATGATGTGATCATTTAGAATTGGCCTTCCAAGTCATAATGAGCTGTGGAATAGGGCACCCAACCCTTTTTATCATTGAGTAAACTGACAACCCCTGACTAAGTGACATATTTTGTTATATTCAATGCATAACACTAACAGTACAGAACAACACAAACTGTATAATCGACCCAAATAGTGAACGCAAAAACTGCTGGAAGTTAGTGTAAGCTTGATTTTACAAGCTTTGATTTACCCTACTAGTTCATGTCAGAATGGCTGCTGTGAAAAAGGTCTAGGCCCAGTTTGACTGCATGGATCACCTTTGTCTTCCAGTTGATGTTTTTCTGGCTGTGGTTAGGCTATGGAAGAGGAGGAGTTGTATTAATACAGGGTCTGGTTGAATATGGTTAATATTTGGTTGTTTTTCTCTTTACCTCTCCCTTTGCCCATAAACGTCTTCATACCTTTCTGTCTTGCCTCGCCCTGTTTTCTTGTCTATCACTCTTCCCCAATTTATATATACCGCTCGCTCTATTGTCTCTCTTTCCATTCTCTGCAGTCCATCGCTGAATTACCCCTTTCTAGATGCACACACACCCACGAATGCTCCTTTTGCAATCCTCCCTCTTTGCTCCCTCACTTTCTCAGTTTTCACACATATCTCTCTCTGTCTCGCTTTTTCTGTCTCCGTCTATTTCTCTCTCCCTCTCTGCCATATACTATAATAACAGCTCAGCATTGGCTTAGTCAGATGTTCCACTGGCTGTCTGGCTCTAGAGCATGCGTGTGTGTGTAGACAGGGTGGGAAGCTACTGTTTCTGGTGTTTTTTGGAGAAGTTTAATATGACGGATGCCTCTTTTTTTTTTTTTTTTTTTTTGCCCTATTTTTCTCCTCGCCTTTGCAGAGTTTTTCTGTTTGCCTTTCGCCTTCTCTCTCTGTCTCCTTCGACTGTTCTTCATCTACCTCTCTCTCCACCGCTCACTATACACTGCAGACATGCTGTGGTGTAATTTTGTCAGTTAGTTCAAACCATCTCGGGGGAGTAGATTTAGCGGCACTTCCGACAGACTGATCCTCCTTCCGAAGTAGAATGTTTTGGGCTACATATACAGAGCAACCCTTACATTTTGGATAATGCGCTATCGATATCAATTATTTAACCGTGATTGGGTTGTTTCACTATATTATACATTAATTATAGGAATAAAAGCACTTCATATACACAGTCCTCATTCTGTTTTACTGCAAGAGGACAGGGAGGGGAACTGTAATTAATTCGTACACTTTTCTCTCAAAATTGATGTAAAGACCCTCAAATTAAATCTTAAAAGTCCTAACCTACAGTGGTGGTTTTAATTCAAATCCAGTGTGCCGGTTTAGAGAGCTGATAGTATACACTTAGAACAACCAGTGTTTACATTTTACTGTCAAGTGACCTCTCGCAGTCATGTGAGTAATGACTGTCCTCTCTAATTAGCAAAGGTGGAAGTAGCAAAAGGTCATGGTTGGGCATACATAGTTTGTGACTTTGACATTGTAGGTCACAGTTTGTGAAATTTTTCCAACCAGAAGTTCAAGTGGTGTTCTTTTGTCCAACATTCCCCTAGCCTCAGCCAAATCATTTTAGTTACCTTAACTGAACCAGAGCTTAACCTTTAAATTTAGGTTAGGTTATGTATACGAAATCCGCTGCTAGATGTTGCACTAGAGCTCAACATGCCAGACCAATACAAATGTAAGTTAAGTCCCACCGGACTCCATTGACAATAATCGTAAAACACACTTCAAACTGGACAGAAACGTCACATAAAAATCACCAAAACAGTCTTTGTTAGCCCTTCCACAGTCTTTCCGACAAAGACATGAAAATATTCACAAAATGTGCTGCAGTAGCAAACGGCTAAGCTAATCCTAGGGGACAAATGCAAGTACGTCCAGAAAAAGTGCTTGTTTCGTGCATGACAGGCTCAGATTGTTATTCTAAGTGTCTAACAACATTCAGAGATGGACCTTTTGTTTAACCTGAAACCGCCACCAGACTCCATAGACAAAAGTCTTAACTTTATTCAAACTGGACAGATATAAAATGAACCAAACCATATTTGTTCATATTTCCACTTTTCCCAAAAATCGCCAACTCTGCTTTGGTCGAAATAAATCCTTAATTCACTGACACAGATGAGAAAAAGCAGCAGTTTCAGTCGCTCTACTCAGTTGCACACAGGGAGGCTGTGATAGCAACATAGGCAAAAGGGAGTGCTAGGTAAGGGTTATACCATAACTCCACTATATATTTACAAAGCGAATAG